GACAAGTTATTCTTGTTTGGGCTGATGATGTGAAAATGTAGTATAGGTACCTACTTACATGATAAATGATCAAAACATAGTTACCTACATACCTAATACTAATTGCATTTATTTCTTGAAATAATTAGGTACGTGTTTAAAAAGAAAAGTAATAGATAGTTATAGTAGAGCTTTGTGTAAGTATTTATTATCTGTGGGTCAAAACAAATATGAGTAACGATTGGAAATAACATGCCCAAGATAAAAGGCAACCTTTAAAAAGTTACGTAGCACATACCTACTGCGTATTGCAGCTCTGTGGCCGTGTAGCTAAAACGGGCGCCAAAGTAAACACCAGAGACAATATTTGCTTTTTGTGTTTAAAAAAATGACCGGCGGAGGTCGGTTAATTTACATGGTAAACGCGCGCTTAGAATGGACCGTCACGCACGGTCAGTCGCTCACAAGACCGGCTATCAAGGACAGGGCGAAGCGCACTGCAAATAATTTATAACCTATAACTTTTTTTTTTAATTTTCCACAAATTATTTTCACGTAATCTCTTGTTTTGAACAAGGGTTAGACAACTTGTATTCAGTTAAACGTAGCTGACCCATGCATGTGAGGCAATCTTCTTTATTTTGTAGGCATTGTGTAGAGTTCGAATTTTTTGGAAAATCTAAGCAGTTTTTTAATCAGACTTTATTTGTACGTGTGTTTTTTTTGGAAATTTTATAGAAATATTATTTTAAAACCTGTTCTTGTTGTGGTCTTTGTTTTGTTTCACGCATAGCATGACATGTTCTAGAAGACTGTGGAAGTTAATAACCTAAGTACTTAGAGTCACAATAAGCGTAAAAAAACGTACACAAAAAGTGATCTGAGTACCTATAGATTAGTAGATTTATCTAGTAACAAGGATGTAATTGAAAATAAATTGAAAAGAACGGTTTTTGGTTGTACCATACCAACTTACTCGTTTCTTGTCCAGTAAAACCAGTTAATAATAATAGTAAAGGTTAGCAATGTAAATCACTGTTCTCTACAGCTCATAATATTAGCGGCTGGCGATAATTTAATTTAGTCTTGATGGTGTAGCGGATGAGTCGGCGGTAAGAGTGCGTCATTAGCGGTTATCACTTCATTCCGGATGAAAAAACTTCAACAGCCCTCGTCGCCTCTCACGTGCGCTTATGATTTATTAATTTTCACCTTCATAAATATGGCGCACGCCTGTATAATGAGTCGACAGTATATAAATTATTTACAAATTTGTAGGAAATGCAATTAACAATGTAGGTAGGTGTACCTATCTACTTCATGATATTTGAAATATACGAATATTTTTAATAAGGGTAAGTTGAAAAATAGAAGAAATGGCCATTAAACTAGTGATTCGTGTTTATGTTGCATGCTTTAAGTTCCGCAAAAGGACAGGAAAATACAGAGACTTTCATCAAAAATATTTTCTAAGTTCTTTTTATTTTCAGAGGAAAATCATCTTATGACCTTTCCCGTCCAGTGCAAGGCAGGAGAGAGTATCAGACTTACTGACTAAACCCCCTCCCCCTCCGCCCCACCGTTCCTTCTCTTGCTCAGGGGCTAGGCCGCGGTGACTCATTACGCTTAACCCACAACCCCGGATCAACTAAGTTCTTAATAAAACGGTTTGACTGCCTCCGTTGGTCAAGTGTTAAAAAGAGCGACTGCCAAACAAGAAGCTAGGGATTTTTGGGTCGCCAGTAAGGAATTTAAATAGTGGTAACAGGTTAAAAGATTTACGTTAGAGATAGTGTAACACCCTTTTACTTACTCCTTTGAGAATTAATACTTATGTGTAGCATACCTACCGATGTATATTTTTTCTTGCTAAATATCGCACTCAGGTTAGTCTGGTGATTTGTACACACACAACCTTAAAGTTCGATGATTTGAAAGTGTTAATGACTTTCATAGATAGGTAATTGTCGAGTAAAATGCTTAAACATCTAGCCATGTCTGCGGTCACATCATGAATAGGTCATCGGCATCTCTATTTACATAATTATGATTTGTACTGTACAGTATAAATACAAGCTCAGAACCTTTTTAATAAAATCTTCTAGATTTTCAAACTGTCGTTTTAAGTTATTGTCTGTTCGATATTTCAACCGAGAGACTTTTGGCAGCAGGACAACTTTGGTAATTTTATTCATGTTAAAGGCGTTACATCTAGACTTAATATTTAAGTTTGTATGTAGTCTTTGGAACCAGAGGTCTGATTTCAATAATAATTTTACTAATAGGTGGCTACAATGTTCTTGAGCGCTATAGGCTTTAAAACATCACGCTACGATCTATAGGAGCCGATCAGCGAATGAAACCGCGCGAGAGTAGCTAGTGTATGATATCACTTGTGTTACATATTAGGATATCACGTAAAGAATATTTTGCCAATTTGATATTTTGATTATTCCAAAGAACCAGGAAGTATGCAGGAATATAGATATGTATCTGTAGTACAGTACGGCGGAACGAGAGGATTGCAGAGTCAGCAGCACGCGCGATCGATAGGCACGCATCTCCGCCTGCCTATCGAATAGCTTTTTGTTCTACCAGCTTTTTATTTATTGATGATGTAGCTACTGCTACCTACTATTAAATCTACGTACCTAGTTCACGAGGTAATACGAGATTTCTATCGATTTTGAAATAGGAGATTGTGTGTTTTCGAAGTTAGTTAATTTCGGAAGTGCGAATTGAAAGAGCAAATTAAAAAAACAAATGGTTAATGTTTTAGCATTCTATATTTAGAAATGGCCGAAATTAAGAACCAATCTTTCAAAGTCTGTAATCAAATCATTTTGATTGAGATTGGTTATCTATTAATGTCGGCGATTAGTTTGGGTATGTAGTTAGGTATCTACCAATCTACCAACGTCCAGTGAGGTATTTTATTTCAGATGGGAAATTATTTTCATTATCTGCTTCAGCCCTGGGTAGGGCGAGATAGTCTCAGTTTACTGACTAAAAACCAAACCTGTCTTCTGTCAGGGCCGAGGCAGGCAGCAGGGCCGACAACATTTTGCTTGCACCTTACCTACATCGGCTGAACATTGCTTTTTTGGGCCACATCTGTGATCGTCTGATAGCTATCTTGTACTGGTACTGGACAGACCTGCGATTTGTTGGTTATATTTGGTTGGGAATAGAATAGTCCCCTCACGTGTCCCGCCTCGTCTTCGTTCACTAGCTTGACTGCTTCCCAGGAGAAGATATCGGCTTCCAAATTCGTCTCGTTCCACACCACGCTTGAACTAAGGCTAGACGCGAAAGACCCCCAATGGTCACGGCGCGCTGGTGCTCAGGTCATTCAAGTACCTACTGAACACCAATACTGAATGCCTACACCGAGTCTGCCGGGCAGTCCACCCAAGGTAGAAGCTGCTTAAGTAGTGTTTAAGCTTGTTGAAAGTGTATCTCTTCTAGAACGTACCTAAGCACTTTTTAATCATTTATAGTTGGATACCTAAATGTTAATAGGTACTTTCTATGACTATTTAGACACCATTGACATACGGTGAAGGTAAACATCGTGAGAAAACCAGGACTTATAATTTCTAATTAGGTATAAGTTTGAATTCGCCAAACCGCATTGAGCAAGCGTGGTGATTAATGATCAAACCTTCTCCGTGTGAGAAGAGGCCTTTGCTCAGCAGTGCATGTGCATGATGATGATGGAAAATATTTAATAAATTAGAAGTACCTAGTACCTAAATATGAAGATACTAAGGTATACTTATCTACTTGTATCTTTTGTTGTATGGATTTATTAACATATTCTAATGACTAAATTATTTAAAGAAGATAGAATGGTTTTATATTTATGTCTTCTTGGTTGGATCCAAAACTGATTTGTTCTCAACGCTAGTCTAAACTGTCAATAATTGCATATCGCACCCACCAATAAATCTTTTTTCAGCACCCAAAGGTCAATTTGGTCCACAGACGGGGCCCTATAGGGCTGATGTTCAGCCGGGGTTGCGGGGTAAGCGCAATGAGGCACCGCGACCTCGGCCCAGAGCTGGAGAAGGAACAGGGGGGTTTTTAGTCAGTAAGACCCTGACACTCCCTCCTGCCTGGCCTTGGGCGGGAGAAGTCATTTGATGATTTTCCCCTCACAAAAAAAAGGTCAATTTGGTAGAGCCTATATGTTCCAATGTATGAAGCACAATATCTAAATTTAAAAAAAGGGTCCGCTCAACATCGAAAGTTACAGTACCAGACAATAATAAATAAATAAGCTTTTGATAATATCAGATATTAATAACTAATGTAACGCCGCATTTAAACGGTTTGTGTCGGACGAATGCGCGTGGGCTCAGCCACTGACAGCTCGGCGCTTGCGTAGGAGCGAAATACGAAAAATATTTGCACCGCGAACTTTGAATTATTGTAGTTGTTAACGTTTACTTGTCGTATTATAATATAAATATTAGTTTTTCATTGTCAAACGTGTGTCGGACTTTATATCACGCCCCGAGAACCCTCGTTGAAATAGCATACCTACACTAATGAGTAATACTATAGTAATGACTTTTAGTACCTACACATCGCTGTAAAAAATGTTAGAATTTTTTTTTGTCATAAATTATTATATTCATTAATTTAATTGAATAATGGTCTTGTCACTCCACATTTAAAGGGGTTGCTAAGTAAATATCTACATAAGTACAAAAATCTACTTTTAAATTGGTTTTCAAGATACTTTTTAATACTACCGACTAATTCTTTATTGTTATATAAGTAGTTACCCTTAATACCTTTAGTGCTCTGCCAATATGACATTGGTTCCATTGAGCTTCTAGTAATCTTTCGGAAAGTATTTACATTCTATGTAGACTGAAAAAAAATGAAACGATTGATTTATTTGTACAAAAACAAATAATATAATAGTCATACATAAGAATTTACGTACTTTTTTATCTAGATTTTAATATTTTTCTCCTTGATTTTAGTCTGGCAACATTGTTATCTACGTCAAATGTCAAAATACTGTGATGGATCTGTGAATTGTTTGTTTGTAAGAAAAACTCGTTAGAAAGTATTTCCCAGCCACTAAAAACCAGGATTATATGCAAATATCATTAAAAAGTGATATCTTTATAAATCCATATCAAAAGATTTTCATGCCTCTGTGGCATTATTCATCTAAGTGGTTAGCCTTGAAGTAGATGTCACCTATTAACTTATATGAGTGTTGTTTATTCTACATTTTAGCTATATTAGTCGCAATTTTAAGATTATATGGCTTTGATATTTGACTTATGTCTTACGGCGATCCGGAAGAGGCATGTTTTATCTAAGTGTGCGGGAGAAAGGTGCTGGTTTAGTTGTGATCAGCTGGATTTGCCTGGCTGTGCTGTGCGCCGCATCTACGGCGCCTTGTGACAAGACTCGCAGGGTATTCACGGATCAGAGTGGCATTATCACCGATGGACCAACTAACTCTAACTACACACAAGTCAGTTACAAGATATACAAATGTTTGGAGTAGGAGTGAGTGAAGTGCTAATAAGAATTCTGTTCTAGGACTCCCATTGCGAGTGGCTCATCAAGGCAGCTAATAAGAGCCAGTACATTACGTTAAGTTTCATTCGTATGGGTACAGAATGTTCCTATGATTATGTGTTTGTTTATGATGGAGACTCATTTGATGCACCATTGCTTGGAAGTTTCAGTGGAAAAACTGAACCCCAAAATGTTACCGCTTCTAGTGGATTTGTGAGTATCATATCATACAATAGTGCAGTTTATTTAAAATTAATGTTTGTTACAATGATAGTAATCAGTAAATACATAAAACATACAATGCTGATTATTATCTGTGAAAACACTAATCTCTTTGTGTCTATTGTTTTAGATGTTAATATTGCTATACAGTGATACTAATTATGTGTTGGATGGTTTCCGAGCAACATATGCCATACACAACTGTCCCAACAACTGCACAGGCCGGGGACTGTGTGTTTCCAACAAGTGTTTCTGTGTGGGTAACTGGGGCGGGCCAGACTGCAGTGTTGAACTTTGCCCAAATGGATGCTCCAACAATGGCCATTGTAAAGGAGATAGATGCGCATGCAAGAAAGGGTAAGAATTCACAACATTCTTATATGAGTCCTTAAATATATTTAGAATCAATACTCAATGAATCTGTTAAATAATGTTAATGTCTAAAAACTACAACTATTTATTAAAAATTGCCTTATTATTTTTACACTTGAAACCACATGGCTACAGCTAGCAAAAATTTGAATATATTAGCATACATACTATTATGTAGAAAAAACAGTCTAAAGTCAACAGACAAGCCGGTCAGATTGTTTTGTTTGTCCAGTCACTTAGTACATTAAGTGCATGTGACCTGCTTGTATTATTTAAGTTATAAACATGTTTTAAATTGTGAACTTGGTCCTTTAGTTAGAAAATTACAAATACATCAATAATGACTGAGCAAAAGTTGTAAATAATATTTGACCTTATGAATAAATATGTTTGTATATTTTTTTGTCCTCAACAAGCAAAAAATAACCATTTGTATGTATGATATGCTCAGGTATGAGTTAAACACAATTTCATTACTGCAATAACAAACTCTGTCATTAATATATTATTTTTCTTAGTTCTAAACATAGAATACATATGTGTTAATTACCATTTTAAATATTAATCAATCACAAGAACCAAGGCTTTACAGAGTTAAGGATTTCTGTGTATAAATTTAAATAATGGGGACTTTTCCTTATCATCAAAAATCTGTATACATCCTGTATACATATACATTTTTCCGCAAAATGTATGAAGGAAAAATCACTATTAATTCAAATTTATTTTCAAGTTATTGATAACTTAATAAAACAAAAGTGTAATTTGGAACTGCAGTCCACTTTGGATTGTACTGACAGACAAATTGATGACTTGATTGAACTTCCTGCTTGATGCTTTTATCTAATTAACACAGGTATTCTGGTGAATCATGTTCTCTCAAGAAGAATGACAAGGAAGGCAATAGTTGGCACTGGTTGTCACATACGGAAAGTGGGATGACTAAAAGGGCAGCTCATACAGCGGTCTATGTTAACCATACAGATTCCCTATATGTTTTTGGAGGTTATGATCTGAACAAAGTGCTTGGTTTATTGGAGGTTTACAGGTCAGTAGAACTGAGTTCACACAACAAATATGCAACTTTATGTGTTGCAACCATGGACAAACTCGTAATGATGAGTTTTGTAGTACAGAAAGGTCATTGTAATGGTCATTCATACTGTAATTATGAAATGAAACAACAAGGGCAACTAAACGAACAATAGTTTTCTGTGATTTCATTATAAAATCATATTGTTTTACTGCAACTTCAATTAAGTTAAATAGTCCAAGATTATTATCTATTACAGTCATGCTGATGACCTGTGCCATACAATAAAATGTTTCTTTATTACCCAGCTTTTATCTTTTTACTACTTATTGTTATTGAATTTATTAACTATATATACATTGTTTTATAGGTTCTCAACTAGTCAGTGGTATGATGAAAATGGGAAAGTATTACGCAGATATCCTACAAATGAGGAGATTGATAAATCTTTGTTGACTTTATTTACTAAGGTAAAAAAACATTGCACAAATCGATTAGTATTTATATTGTGTTGTTACACACTGCAATCTTTTTTGAGTGAATTTAGATTTCTTTGACTTAAATGAACCTATGTTGAAATTCAACTTTTTTTTAGGGTAATGTTGATGGCAGCTGGCAAATAGGCAACAGGAGTTCCTTATTCAATTTACTTTTATCGTCATTCTCCAACCATGATAAGACGACGTTACCTCTCATGTACTCTCATGCACCAACACCATACTCTGAGAGCTACCTACATTTTACTGAACAGCCAGAGGTTGTAAGCAATGTCATGAAGGATAACACTACCAAACCTGAACCAAGGTATGGCCACTCTGCCTGTGCATTTGGTTCTGGTTTCGTGTTATACGGAGGTAAGCTCTCTGATGGGAGCTTGTCCTCTGAACTATGGATGTATGACGTCACGTTAAATCTTTGGACTCTACGCGCTGTTAACGCTACCTTCACTCCACCGGGGTTGACCCGCCACACACTAACCGCTGTCAAAGATGAACTGTACCTATTTGGTGGTAGTACAATGGATGGAGAGTTTTCCTCAAGGTAAATAATAAAAAGTATAATTTATTCTTATTGCCTTTTATTGAACAATTATAAAACATTTTCCTTCCATTTATTCGCAGTATGTACAAAATAAAACTTGATGACGCAAATACGGAGACTTGGGAAAGAATACAAGTGAGAGGTGGGAAGGAATTGGATGTGCGGGTGGTCGCCCATACTGCCGTGTACCATACGCATTCTAATTCAATATTGGTGTACGGAGGCGTGGTAGCTAGTGTAGCACGGTCAGTAAACATATCTTTTATAGTATTATCGATTATAATGTTACCGACTAATTGGTTTGCTAAAACAATTTTTTTATTGTGCATTCCAGGTTTTCGAAGCTGTCAGATAGGATGTTCGCTTTCGACATAGATTATAAACACTGGAGTGAGATACACTATCCTCGCGCTCATTTGCGAGATACTTATGTGCCACGAGAGAGGGCGTTTCATACGTCAACTATTATTGGTATGTTCAAAATTATATGTTAACACATCCTGTATAGTAATGATCGTTTTCCTTCTAAGATATCTGTATGGAACATCTTTGTATACTGTAAATGAAAATTGAAAAGGCAATTTAAATTTAAATGAGTCTATTCTATAATAATTTGGTAACTTTACTTTTATGGGTGTCCATGGGCGGCGTTAATAAGGCAAGCAATCCACCCCACCTACAATATTTTAAGTTGAGGTTATCCACGGACGGCGCTTATGGCGTACGCCAATCAGGCGATTTGCTCCTTTATATGGTATAAAGGAGCAAATCAGCCTTGAGTAGGAGAAGGAATGGGAGGTTTATAGTCAGCAAGAGTCTCACATTCTCTGCCGCCCGACCCTGGGCGGGAGAAGTCATTTGATGATTTTCCCCTCACAAAAAATACGACATACGGGATACGATAAAAAAAATGGTTATTTCATTTGTCTTTGTTTTCAGGAAACTATCTTGTGGTATTTGGTGGGTATTCTCACCGTCACAATAGAGAAGAAATCTGTTACGATGGACAAATGTACATTTACCACTTGGGTTGTCATTCTTGGATCCCGCTGGACGTGTTGGGTAAAGTGCGTCGGTTCTATCCGAAGAAGCAAGGCGTGTTTGCTCACGCGGCCGCCTTGAGGCCACCGTCTACTTTGTTAATTGCTGGAGGTTACCATGGAAACGTTAATGGTGAGAGAGGTTTAATAAAGAAAATTATCTTGTTATAGTGCTTAGCTGCCTTGCTAAACTTAGTGGAGGGTCTTGGGTCCATTTCACGGTTGATATTGACCAATTTTTCCGTAATAGGCATAGGTGTAAGTGTTTAGAGAAAATAAAATTTATCGAAAATAATGACTCACTGCTTCGTCAGATTCTTAAGAGTCCTGTTGCGGCTTGAAACTAGTAGAGCTTTTTATCAGTCAAGAACAAACTGAAACGAAAGTTTAAAAGTTAGTGTAGCAAAAGGATAGCTACTATAAAAAATTGCTGTTTTATTTTAACTTCAGTTGTTGCTGAAGTACTTATTTTTAAAGCAGAAAAAATTATGTCTCATTTCATGATTTGTTTTTTATCTTAACAGGTGATTTATTAGCGTACGTGGTACCGAGTTGGCAAGCTGGCATTACCAATAGCGATCCAGAGTCGGCCTGTCGACGTCATCGATCTCAACCAGAGTGTTTAGCGGATCCCGAGTGCGGTTGGTGCTCGGCTGATGATGTAAGTTATCATAGTTAGTTTAATGTAAGCGTATAATAGCTTGTTTAAGAATAAAAAAAAAACAAAAAGACATAAGAACTTAAGGAGAGCCATGCTTCGGTACGAATGGCCCGGCTTGACCGGAGTACCACGGCCACACAGAAAACTGATGTGAAGCAATACTTACGTTGTGTTTCGACTTATATTATGACACTAGCTACTCTCGCGTGGTTTCGGTGATGTTTTATAGCCTATAGCACCCAGGAAAATTGTAGCTATCTATCAGTGCAAGAATTTTGGAAATCCGACCAGCGGTTCCAAAGATTACCCCCTACATACAAACTTACAAACGTACAAACATACAAACTTTCAAATTTTACCTCTTTATAATATTAGTATAGATAAAAAAGGCAGGCTTCATTCGTATGAAGTCTACCTTTTCAGACATCGATCAAGACTATCGCTGATTTTCAATCGCCTCTGCTTATTTGATCATGCTTTTTTCAATTATCCTTCACTCAAAACGTGTCAGGCAGTTCAGTCAGGACAGTCATAACCAGACTATTACATAACAGTATTCATTTATTTTACATGCAGCGGGTACACGCTAGGCGTACTAAATTCTTTACAGTTTTTCACCAAGAATAAAATGCCCATGGAGTTGTTTAATCGATGAAATTGTCATTATTATTCACAGACTTGCTACGGTAGAAGAATAGGAGCTAACTGCACAACCAATCTGCAGTCTATCCGGTGCGGCGGTATATGTCCCGCGTTGGGTGACTGTCACTCGTGCCTCATACACGGGCCTCCCCCCGGGAGCAACACTAGTCGCACGCCATTACCTTCCGTCAGCACTAAACTTGGCCTCGATCAGTGTAACTGGTGTGTGCAGAATGCTCGGTGTCATCACAAAGATGGTAAGGATTTGTTTTTCTTTCAAGTTTCAAAGTTCGTTAAACGATTCTTAAATCTTTGGCAAAGAAATAAGATGGAAAATGTTTTTAAGAAATTTTATTAACAATGGAATGTTTCATGCGTAACTTATTAAGACTTGCTCCACTTTTCTTTCTAGATAATTACGGCGTTTGCGGAGAAGATACACCATCAGAAAACCCAGGCTGGTGGGGCGCCACTGGCACTGAAGTAACAACGCCGGACGAATGTAAAATACTAGATAAGCGACCTGGTCTCACGTTTCTCAGATACCAACAACCAGCTGACTGGAACCACCCTGACGGTGTATCTGTTGTTAATGCAACCATTGTGGACTGGAGCACTGGCGGAGGCAGCAACCAGATATTTAGTGGATCCAGTGAGGCTCGACTCAGGGGCTGGCTACATATACCTCAGTATTGGAACGGAACTGGCGAAAGTTTGCACATTTGCGCAGGCTACTCCAATATATCTCTAGCACTGGGTGACGCCACAGACCCAGTCGCCAATTTGACAGCACAGCCATCAGCCTGCTCCCTAGTAGACTGGCCCGCGCTGTTCCCAGGCCGCCTCGCTGTCGACATGCACGCCAATGATTCCTTACACACTGGTCTATATCCTTCACACCATCGCGCTAAAATGGAATTACTTCATAATAAATCTCAGGAAAGTGCAAAGGTAATTTTTATAATATATTTTTTTTAGACTATTTGCGACAGTGTTCAAGTTAGATTGTTTATATTTAAAAACATTGTTTTAGGTGTTCACATTTGAGTTTCTGGAGCCATACTCGGACGGCGCGTGCAACTACGACAACTGCCTGCTGTGCCTGTCGGACGCGGCGTGCGGGTGGTGCGAGCTGAGCGGGCGCTGCGAGGCGCGCGCCGCGGACGAGCGCGAGGCGTGCGCCGCGGGCGGACAGTGGCGCTACCTCACGCTGCAGCCCGCCGCCTGCCCCAACTGCTCCAACTACATCAGCTGCGAGCGCTGCGTCGCCGGCAACCACTGCGAGTGGTGGGCCGACGAGGCGCGCTGCGCCCGGCGGGGCCGCGCCGCGGGCGCCATCTGGTCGCGCGCCGCCTGCCCCGCGCCCTGCCGTCTGCGCGCCGACTGCGAGCACTGCCTGGACGAGCGCGGCCGCTGCGTGTGGTGCGAGGCCACGCGCCAGTGCTTCAGCTTCAGCGTGTACACCAGCGAGTACCAGTTCGGGCTGTGCCGCGAGTGGCTGGACCGCGCCTCGTCCCCGCCGGACGACGCGGCGCGCAAGGCCGGCCAGTGCAAGTCGTGCCGGCGCCACGCGCAGTGCTCGGCCTGCCTGCGCAGCATGGGCTGCGGCTGGTGCTACTCGCACGACAACCCCATCAACGGCGCCTGCACCGAGGGCGACTTCACGCGCTCCCACGCCGACTGCGCCGCCGTGCTCAACGTCACCGCCAGCGACGCGGGCTGGGCCTACGCGCAGTGCCCCGACGTGGACGAGTGCGGGCTGGGCCTGCACGACTGCCACGAGCACGCCATCTGTAACAACACCCACGGCTCCTACACCTGTAAATGTAAGCAGGGCTACATCGGAGACGGCAAGAAGAGCTGTATGCGAACATGTTACAATAACTGTATTCACGGTTACTGTCTCGGATCTCCTCAGTACAAGTGTAACTGTGATTTGGGCTGGACCGGAGCAGACTGTTCGATAAATTGTGGCTGTCATAATCACTCGACATGTAGGCTGGGAGTGGGACGCTGCGACGAATGTCAGGACTGGACAGAGGGAGAGTTCTGCGAATCTTGTAAACCTGGAAGTCACGGTAATGCTACCACGGGGCAAGGGTGTCGCAGGTGTGACTGTAATGACCATGGTGATGAGACACGCGGCGTATGTGACGTTACTACGGGAGAATGTATTTGCAAGGATAACACTGAAGGCTTGAACTGTGAACGTTGTAAGCCTAAATTTTATGGCGATCCTAGACACGGCGGTAAATGTTACTACCAATGTGAACCCAGAGGAATGTTAAATGCAACACAAACTGAAGGAATTGGCTCGTACAAGACAGATCCTGATATAAAAACAATTGGACCTTCAAAGGAGTGCTTATGGATAATATCTGCTGACGATATCAAGGATGCAATCATCCAGTTCACAATAAATTCCTCTACTTTCGATGTTCCCTGCGATGAGAATGCTGTATATGTTTATGATGGCCTGGGCGGCGTACCTGATTTGAGTAATAATCAACAAAGTCAGTTGCTGGGAGTATTCTGTAACGGCGCTTCCTCAGGAGTCATAGAGGCTCGCAGTGGCAACTTGACGGTCCACTACAAACAAGGGCAGCCGGAGCAAGGCTTCGAAGCTAGTTACAAGGTGCTGGCGTGCGACGGGTACTGCACGTGGCCGAGGGTGTGCAACAAGAGGCACTGCGTGTGTCGCGACGGTTACGGCGGACCCAACTGCGAGTTCGAGATCTGCCGCAACAACTGTAGCATGGCCCTCAATGCCGGCCTCTGTGACCCCAGCTACGGGAGGTGTCTGTGTAACGAAGGCTTTGGAGGTGATGACTGCTCCATTAGATTAGATAAAACACAGCTCGTGTTCACTGAGCTATTCAACTCCGAATATTTGTCAGAAGGTTTAGATCACTTAAGGAAAACTCTCCCTAGATTCGGTCATAGCTTAGTTGCCGACAGACGCGGTCTTTGGATGTTTGGCGGTTACTCTTTGTCCCACGGTCCATTAAACGACATTCGATTTTTTGACACTAAAAACAACACCTGGATGCAGGTTACTGTGGAAGCTACTCCAGACGCTAAAATGCCAGAAGGGCGATATTTCCATGCAGCTGAGATCTACCACTCGAAACAAAACATTTATATTTATGGAGGTTTAAGTTTACAAGAGAAGAGCGGACAGAATAAGACACTTGGGGACTTTTGGCAGTTTAGCTTGAAAGACCAGAGGTGGAGCAACATTCTGAATAAGGATAAAGATAAGGATGGTCAGCCACCTCCACTCGCCGGACACACGCTGACTCTACAGAAATATTTGGATTACGAAAGCTTGGTTTTGATTGGCGGATTTTCTCTAGAAGGAGGTTTTATGTTCGACGTTTGGGAATTCGACCTGGACAATGAGAAATGGATTAAATTGAAGGATGGAGGTGCGAAACCTTCGGGCATAATTGGCCATAGCACTGTTTACCACGCACCATCTCAAAGTTTATACGTGTATGGTGGAATCTTGTACTCATACAATGGTACCATGCTATCTAACAAGCTGTTTTCGTTCCACTATCCAACAAAGAAGTGGAGTGAACTACCAACGTTCCCGATATTGAACAACTATTACGACAACTTACCACAAGCCACATACCTGCACTCAGCAGTAACGACCAATGATTACATGATTATATTTGGTGGAAGAACAGATCCTGAAAATAGATCCGACTCTCTTATTGCGTACATCTACAGCTGTAATCAATGGGTTCGACTTGTGAAAGGTTGGTATTGCACTATTAATAATCAACATGTTTTTGTAAGTTTAAAATTAATAATAATAACATTTGCAGGTGTAAGTATCGTCGGTCACCCGCCTCCGCCCACAATAGCCCACGCCATGGCAATAGACATAGACACAGAAAACGAAGGCTACATCTACATAATAGGCGGATGGACAGGCAGCGCTCATTGTCAAGTTACCCGCATATCGTTGCCTGAAGACCTGTGCTCTTTGTGGAGTTCCAACAAGTTCGAGTGCCGCAGTCATATGGGATGCAGTTTCTGTAGTACAGGGAATTACACGAAGTGCTTCTCGGTGGACAAGCCGGGCTGCGAGGGCAGCGACAGCGTGGCCGTGAACCCCGGCGCCGCCTGCGACGCGGAGCTGGTGGCCACGCGCGCCTGCGAGAACTTCACCACGTGCACGTCGTGTCTGGCGGCCTGGCCCATGTACCCCGAGGACAAGCCCGCGTGTCGCTGGTGCGAGTCCTGCGCCGCCGCTGTCGGTACGTACTCTTGCTTTGGATTCTTTCATCTGTATATAATTTCAAGGAGGATTTATATCCGTGATTAGTTCAGTAAAATATCAGTACTGGTCTCTGGCTTGTATGGACTAGTATTCTTGGTAGGAAGCTTGAGACTTATTAAATATGTTTTCTTATAATATTCAAGTGTAAATGTTGTTTAATATAGGGTGGTGTGGTATGCCTCTTTTTACATAATTGCACATATTTTAGGAGAATGTGTCCCCACGGACGAGTCGTGTACCAGCATGAAATGCAATGCTGGCACCACTTACATTAGTGATGTGGGTAACTGCCCCGAGCTGCGATGCTCGTCGTCTGACTGTGAAAAATGTGTCTCCAAGGAATGCACCTGGACGAGACACGCTGCTAGAGAAGGTAAGTTTGTTGATATAAGTAGCAATGAAGCTAAGGCTTGTTAAAAGTTACGTAAATAGTAATCATATCGACTTATTTTGTAGGTCAATTGACACGAATAGCAGACGAGTCCATGGAACTGTTCAACTGGACGTGCGCATCGATAGAGGAGCCAGGCCGCACAAGCCTTCGCCCCACCAAGAGCGAGGAGTGCCCGAGCCGGTGCAGCGCGTTCGAGGACTGCCAGTCGTGCCTGAGCACGGAGGGCGGCGAGGGCGGGGCGGCGGAGTGCCGCTGGGCGACGTACCTGGGGCGCTGCATCTCGCCGGCGTACCAGGCCGTGTACTGCGCGGGCGGCGTGTGCGGGCTGGTCCTGGCGCGGGACGGGCGCGGCGGGCGCGGCGCCTGCCCCGCGCCGTGCGGCGCCGCGCGGCAGTGCGCCGCCTGCCTGCAGCACGCGCACTGCGGCTGGTGCGCGCTGGGCGCGGCCAACGGGCGCGGCGTCTGCACCGACGGCGCCATCGACGCGCCCACGCACTACTCGGCGCGCACCACCTGCGCCGCCGTCTACTCCGCCGCCACGCAGCACGACCACTCCAACGACACCTTCTCCTGGCACTACACGCGCTGCCCGCCCGAGAACGAGTGCGAGAACAACCACCATCAGTGTAAAGCCGAGTCTGAGGTTAGCTTTATGTTTTTCTACGCGTTAACAAGCATGCCAATCTTTATCTTTATTATTAACTAGCTAATTCCGCGCGTAGTCACCCGCTGCTTGACTCTATTTAATCGTAGCGTGATGTTTTATAGCCTATAGCACTCAGGAACATTGTGGCTATCTATCAGTGAAAGAATTTTAGCAATCCGACCAGCAGTTCCAAAGATTACCCCCTACATAAAAAACTTATAAATTTTACCTTTTTTTATATTTGTATCGATATTAAAAACCGAAGAGTTTGTTTCTTTGAACGCGCTAATCTCCGGTAATACTGGTTTAAATTGAACAATTCCTGAGAGTAGCTACTTATATTTACTATATTTAAACTTTGTATGATCCACAAATTGTTGTTCCGAGTCTGGATGTGATGTGTATGTGAAATTGTTTGTGTATAACCCACGACACAGGAGAAATACCTAAAGAAGGGCAAGTCTTTTATAAAAAAAAACTTTCTAATAGCCATAGCGTGATGTTTTATCCCACAGTCTTCTTGAATGGACCACCCTAGATAAAAATTGTTGTTCACTTCCAACTCGTAGGTCCGGAGATAAAAGTAGCAAATCTATTACTAATTCTTTATACTCGTACAATATAAATAAAAAATACGAAGCACAATACAAAGAGTAAAAAAATAAAACTCGCATGAAATAATGGAAAAATCGTTTCAAGTTATATAATACAGACTAAGCGTTTGTCCGCAAATGCTCATTACTCAATACCTATGCGCTCGGCGACAAGATTCATGCATCCCTCGATCGTGTTACGGCGCGAGCGTTGATTGGTCGAGCTAGAGCTGGGACCTTACAACATTACTTACGTACATTTTAATTTAATCTTCTTATTCAGGCGACAATCGCCAATAACTTAACAATCTATATTAGTAACCCGTGCCATACCGTTGAGAATAATGTATGTATTTGGTTCCAGGTATGTCGAGACCTGCCCGAGGGCTACGAGTGCGCATGCGGCGCGGGCTACAAGCGCGCGGCGGGCGGGGCGGGCGGTCCGGGCGGGCCGGGCGGCGCGGCCGGCTGCGTCGCCGTCTGCTCACAGGGCTGCGTGCGCGGCCTCTGCGTGCAGCCCGACGTCTGTCGCTGCGAGTTCGGCTACGTCGGCGCAAACTGCACCATCCAGTGCCAGTGCAACGGACACTCCGACTGCGAGGGACCCGACAAACTCGACAAGTGTGTCGAGTGCCATAATAACACCATGGTACGTCACCACCATCCGACCCTCCGTAGTTACATTGTTATTGGTTTACTATATGTCAAAATCTTTTACACAGGGCGATCAGTGTGAAAAATGTAAGCCAAACTTTGTGGGCGACCCAGTGAACAACGTACAGTGCGTGCCTTGCTCCACGTACTGTCACGGACACACGTCCATCTGTACGAGTGAGGTGGACGTGACTCCGGTCCGGGAGCTGGGCGGGCCGGCCGACCCGGACGACTACCGGGACGGCACCGCTAAGGCACGGTGTGTGCGCTGTGCTAACAACACGGACGGGCCTCGCTGTGAGCGGTGTATCGAGGGATATTTCAGGGGCTCGGATGACTTCAGGGATCCTTGTAGACCGTACGTACCGTGACCTTACATTCACAACTTATTTACATCTCTGATATAAGCTGTTACACAAGGAATGTATTGTTCCAGGTGCGAGTGCCACGGACATGGCGACACATGTGACCCAGTAACCGGTGAGAAATGTAACTGTGGCAACAACACCGAGAGTGACATATCCTGCCAGACGACCAGCTCCAGTAAGAACTCTGCGCAGGAGTGCTGGCGCTACCAGTGCGTCAAGTGCAAAGACCTCTACATGGGCGACCCCAGGAACGGACACCAGTGCTATAAGACAATCAATATAGAAAATAAACTTTGCTTCGACGGAAAATCAATTGGTATGTCTATAATACAATATTTTTTTTATAATTTACATGTTTGAAAGGGTTTAATACCTGATAATTTAATTTCCAGATGAGTGTAAAATTAAGCCGCGCCCTCTGTACCCTGGTCAGACAGTTTTCGTGGCGGTTAATCCGAGATACATGAACGTAGACATACGAGTGATAGTAGACGTGACGCAGGGCGCAGTGGACCTCTACCTTAGTCCGAACGACAGTTCGTTTGTAGTGTCAGTGAACTCTAGTAACGGCGACCATTCTGTGGAGTTGGATCCCACGTATCACAAACACGAACCGAGTCGACGGGTGCCGTCATTCGATGATCACGTACCTGAGGAGCCACGCGTTACCTGGTACTACGACAAGGTGGAGTACACACTGGCAGACTACACTGCCAAGGACCTGGCTACCTACGTTACGGTGGACCGCAGGAACATATTACTCCGCGTGAGGAACCTCCGCAATCGCCTCGTGCTGACCCTGCCACAAAACGTGCACGATCTCACGCACACCAAGTTCTACATCGTAGTCCGCGCCCGCCACACCGACGATGGTGCCGCCAGCTTCGGCGTCATCTTCTTCCGTCAAGACCAGTTGCACATAGACCTGTTCGTGTTCTTCTCCGTGTTCTTTTCCTGCTTCTTTTTGTTCCTGGCCGCATGCGTGGTGGCTTGGAAAGCTAAACAAGCTGCCGACGTGCGCAGAGCGCGACGGAGACATGTTGTTGAGGTAAGCATTATTATCGAATAGTTCTTTTTTACTTTTTCTTTAATGAATGTTGCGTAATTTGTATTTATCTGCTGCAGATGCTACACATGGCAAAGCGGCCATTCGCCGCAGTGACCGTGGTGTTAAGCGGCGGCGTGACGTCAGCAGGTCCCCGCCGACGCCGGGCCCCTGACTTGAGACCTGTAGCTATCGAGCCCACTGGCGATGGCCGAGCCGCTGTCACCTCTGTTCTTGTCAAGTAAGTTATAATTGATGTATTAATGAGAAGTGTATTTTAAACAGTTGCTATGTTCGATAGCTAACTGATTATCCCTATGCAGACTGCCTGGAGGGTCCCGCGTACCTGTTCGGTTGGCCCTGGCGTCGTCGCTAGTGCTGGTGGCGCGAGCGCCCGCGGCCCGGCAGCGGCGCGCGCCCCCGCTGGCGCGACTGGCCGCGCACACCTAGCCTCCGCCGGCTCTGCTCGCGGCAGCCCTGCCCGGCCCGGCTCCGCAAGCGGCAGGCCCGCCCGCCCCGGACCCACAACCGGCAGACCTGCCTGCACCGCACGCGGCCATTCTGCCCCTGCCAGCCCTGCACGAGCCTTTAGTGTTTGGTTAAAGATATCTAGGGTGATTAACTCAACACAAGGTAAAATAAATTGACTATACTGTAGCAAGTAAGGTAGAAAAGAAATGGTACATAAATTAATAATTATTAGGTTTAAATAGCCGCTGTTTGGTCCCGCATCTTCGTTCATATTTTTTGGGTGCGCCGGCGTCGACCTAAGTTCCGCCTTCCACAACCTGCTGGCTCGCTCTTGTAAGAACAATGAGTGACGTAATAGGTGGCGTGGTTATCGCCGTTTGTTCAAACCGCCTCGGCTCTCGTTGTATAAGTGAAAGCGGAGGCGGTAGCGGATAATGATGCTACCTTATGTACTACTAAGTAGGTCCCTACAAGCGGCGCCATCACGCGCCCGCCCTGTAACTGTCTGCGAAGTCCATGTAAGCACAAAACTACATGTCGAATCTCGTTATATTTCGACATAAAATGTTCGTATCTCTGGCTCCCCTACCTGTTTGCTCTACCTATATGGTCGGTTCTTTTTTTCTTAAAGATCAACCTGGGTTATGATTAGGTGTTCTAAGACATCGGAGTATAGATCGGCCTCACGATGATCATTTTCGATTTGGTCTTCTAACTTGGAGCTCTCCTTCCTCATCATCCCCATTCAGGTCTCGTACCCCGCTATATAGGTACCAGATTCTGATCGGTATCTGGGGCTGCTTCCCACCTATCGTAATCACCGCATGATCCAGCATAGCTTGTATCTACAATGCTAGACACTGGGACTTTATAAATTAGTCCATGTATTGGTCAGCCTTCAGGGAAGAATATTCCCAAACTAACCTAACCTAAATTTGTGGCTCCTTCAGCTCCGGTCTTAATTATGGTTAAGAGCTTCTCTATCTCAATTTTCCATTTGTGAATGCGGACACGTTCTGTTGAGTCACCGGTTTGGATAGTGACATCATGGAAGATAATGTTATGGCCAGGGTTTCTCGATTTATGTATTCTGGGTTCATCTACTCTCCAGTTGAAGCAGGCTCCACTGTTTGACGGGATGAGTCTATACCGACATAGCTTGTAAAATCTGCAGGCTGAAGTGGCAATGGGCTATGGGCCAGGTTGCTCGAAGGAACGCCGATGAGCCCAAAAAGTACTCGGAAATCAGTGGCGACCACGGACCGGAAAACGTAGCTTGGGCAGGCCTCCCGCTAGGTGGACCGATGACATCGTCAGAGTCGCGGAATGGATGCAGGTGACGAGTTGTCGTTCGACGTAGTGGACTAAGGCCTTAGTTCAGCGATGGACGTTTCCGGGCTGATGATAATCCCTGGCTGCGACTGACTTACGTCATCGTCGGCCAACGTAATCTAAGTAAATGTTCAACCTATGTAATTAGGGCGGGTGTAATAGATTTTATTAAAATGTATATATCGGTCGGTGGTAAGTGGTGCGATTGGTCTCCACTTACACAATTATGTCGAGGATCTGCTATTTATCTTATGAATCTCATGACTGTGCCGTCTCGATGCGAGCGAGGAGCCAAAGGTATCAAAATTGAGCGCACATATTGCGCGGGTTGTGAATAGCCGATATTCGCTGATCTGTTGTGTTGTTTATCTCGAAATTTTATTATATGATGTTGACGCCACATTTTGTTAATAAAATGTTATTGAATGTCTATTTTATGAGTTAGCTTCAGATCTTTATTTACAAGTTTTAATAGGTGATTAAAATGTTGCAGCTGAGTATTTCTAAGGTACATTAGAAAAATATGTTCCTACGGATAGATGAATCTCTTAGATAAAAGATATTATTAGTTAATTAAATTACATATCTATGGCAGTTATTTTCTAATTTTTTTTTCTTTAAAAGACATGATTTAGCTTATATCTGATTATACAATATGTACCTATACTGCATAGGTAGGTTTACCTTTGCCTGCATTTGCTATTGTTGTGAAACTGAATTTAAACTTGCCAGATAAGTACTACGGTGATTATAAAACTGAGATTATTTTATGTACGTAAGTACCTAACCGATTATAAAGCCAATGTTGTATATATGTAACAAACGCGATAAATTACGTAACTGCTGCTCATGTTTCATTTTTGTGTTTATAAAATTGTTCTTATAATTATGCTTAGAGCACGTACCTAATACATATATTCAAAATATATCGAATATTATAGTATTCGATGTATTTTGAATGGAGAACCGACTATTTATAGCAAATTGACAAAATTAGCACAATTAAGTAAATATATTCGTAAATACGTAATTTCCTATCCAATATAATATATAATAAACCTATCCTTGGTCGTTAAATTAAATATCAGTTCATGTGGTAAAGTTATTACTTAATTAATTTCAGTAGCTTTGTATGTATGTATATTTATGTATTGTTTTAGACCATAGCATAACAAGGTTCGTCTCGTATTCGATAATTCGTCAAGGCAAGGTGTACTGTGTACATACTGTAATTATTTTGTGAATAGCTCATTATTAAATGCATGTACAGGCGTTACAGTAATTAATTCCGATTATTTAATTGCTCATTAGTAAATCAGCAGTATTGTGTAAATGGATTGATCAATTACTTGATGTGTAAGTAGAAATATATTAAATAATTAGTTTTAAATTTAAAATATTAAGAGAGTACTGAATATTGTTATCGCTACATTATTAAGTTATACATAATCAAATGAATTGTACTTGATCAAAAGTATAAACTGAGTCCAAAATACATTCCATTTGTATAACTTTGTACATAAAATATTATGTAATAATTGTGTATTACCAAATTTTAGATCAGGTATCAAAGAGCTTTAAGGATATTTATACTAAGAAAATTTATTGCTCATAATCTTCAATTAGATGTTTCTTCACATACATTTAAATGCATTTATATATTGTTTCCCTCTTGTGCTGTATACATTTATTTAGAACTAAAGAGGTTTCTTTATAGAGTCCGTAGTTTACACATACACCTAAGTTGTGTGAATGTTTGTTGATTGGAATGCATTTGTGGCATGTTGAGATGGTGATGGAAATAGTGCATTAAAATTATGATTGTCTATGCTATTACATTCGTAGTATTAATTCAAATGTTTAACAATGCTAGCGTGGCTAGCACAAAAGGAGCATCTAATCAGTAGATGAAATATGTCACTGTATTTACCTAATTTCGTCCTTTTTTGTGCTCAATGTTATAAACCCTAATGAAACTATTTCTTATAATATGATTGCCAAAATGACAAAAGGTATTAACTTTGTGAAGATAAAAATACAAGTACATTATGTAGCACTTGAAACAAGTAATTTGCTCTCACAGTAATAGTTTTATCCAATTCTTGATGATGTTTGTAGATTCTATACTTTAATCTTTACTGAATTTTATTATAGGTATTGGGTTTACCTTTAGAAAAATAAGCATAATTTTATTTGCTCAAAATATTTTTATATTGAACTATGACAGCTCTGTAATGCATTTTTGTAATTTGTATATCTTTGTTCAGATTTTTTTTGGTTTCCCTTACTGATGAACATGTTTAGCTAAGTTAAAGCCATACTTGCTTCTCTTCAGGTGTGATATTATGTTAAGAGTTTACTTTATAAAACAGTGCCCAATCTAAAATGTATTTATTGTAGTAAGCCATATGTTTTAAGTAGTTTTATGTATATATTTGGTACATATGAATATAAGCATACATGTCTGTTTAGAAAGTGTACCTGGGCAGCATTATATTTAATGAAAAAAAGAATATCAAAAGATGGTCTCTAAAATAAGATCTTGAATTACATAACTGTTGTAATAAAATGTCCATGACAAGATTTTCAAGGCAATTTCTTTATTTTTTAATGGAATCTTGGCAGTATTATGTATAAGCAATATATATATTTTTGTTTAATCTGAATGTATAATAAATGTTTATAAAATAAAATATACTGTTGGTTGTAATTCAAAGTTTTTTTATTGTTACATTCAGAAATGTTACAGAATTGTCCCAAGTAGCAACATTGTGAATAGTCAAATGATTATTCAAAAATATAAATGACTTAACCAAACTTGATCAAATTAAATATAGACCTTATGTTAAACTAAGCAAATAAAAATATGATCTTATTATTTAGGAATTGATAAAATAAGACAAGCTACTTAAAATAATGTGGAAAGCAAAGGAGTTCTGCCTATTGATCTTTTTGAGTGAGTAGATGTGTTTTTATTTTCTGAAGGAGTTCTTTCTTCACTGTGTCTGGAACTAAAGCTCTTGCACGAGGAGTAACCCTGGCTGCTAGCATATCAAATGTGATGTTGTTACTTTCATTTTCCTTGACCACATCTCGGCAGAGCATTCTAACTTGATCTCTCCAGCCGCATTCAATCAATCTTCTTCTCAAAAGCTCTTTGAATCTGCAAAAATAATATTTGTTTCAAATATACATTGTATTATGATAATGGAAAATTGCAAACATTACAAACTTCATTTTCATTCAATATTTATTTAATTTGTACTTGTTTTAAGAACATTCTAGGATGGCAAAAAACAAGACTATCAGCCTCTATTAAATTTATAACTCTATGCTTATCATTTAGGTTGAAAACTACAGTTGCAAAGCTTCAGAAAATTAGAACAGCTGGAAAGATTGGGTTATGTAAAATGCATTCACCACATAGTGATAAAAAGTTATTTTAGCATATTTCTTCCCGTCTCTTATTGATACACAGATTTAAACAAATGTATGTGTTTTTACACAGAAATCATTAACTATCTGAATGCCTAAGCTACCATGACAACCACAAGATAAATTCATATATATTGTAACTTTTACCTTTCCCTGTCTCCGGTTAAAACCAATCGTTGATGTGCTATAGTGTTGTTTACAGTCATTTTAACCTGAAAAAGATGATTACAAATATCATTACCATACAGAAACTAAAGGACATAGCATGCAAAAGGTAGCCTTAACGAATTCTTACTTGTGAAATGATGTGCACCACTAAAATAATTTCCCAAAAATTCAATAATAACAGATATCCGACCACAATCAATCAAAATAATCAACACCAAACACCAACAACAACACTTGAACAAAGATACGAAAAATCACACACAAGTGACAATAATTGACAATGACAAAATTAATGACACTGACAAGTGTTGAGCAACGGGTATTTTTTTTTTGAGTTTATGACCTGGATATAAGTCCTTTGTGCGAAAGATATTCAGAAGATATAGACATACCAATTATTTGAAAATATTATTAAAAAAATATTTCATCCGTTTGCTGATACTAACATTTAAACACTCGCAAGAAATAAAACAGCGATACGTACCTAACCACTTAGTTTAATGTGGTTTTTGGGAGGAATTGTAAAATCCTGGAACCTGGAAGTGACAATCGATTAATCGTTATCATTTGACACTAATAGTTGACAGCTGTGTTATGTTTATCAATATACCATTATAATACCTATTTTTAATTACAAGTTCCTATTTGCTTTATAAAATAAACCAAAATAACACAAAACAAAATAAATGGCCCACGTCGTTGTTTTAGATTCAATTGATGAAGACATTTTTGTTTGTGGCACTTGTAAAACTGTTTTTAACTCCTTACAAATTTTCCTCGAACATAAAAGATTAAAATGCAGCAATATTGTTTTAGAAGGAAGATATTCCAATATTGATTTGATACAGCCCACGAGTCTTGGCGACTCTTTTCCTGAGAACATTCCAACCTTACAACAAAGCGAGGAATTACCTGAACCTCTGCCAGGAGCGGATCAGTCATGGCCTAAGGATCTCACTTGTAGTACTTGCAAAAAGAAATACAAAAAAGTTAGGACCTTGATAGCTCACATGAAAACACATAGCGAAAAGCCATACCAGTGCCCTATATGTGGTAGATGTTTTATACAAAATTCACATTTGCAAAGGCACATTACTTCTCATCGAATATGGCCTGATGGTCTAAGGGAGACTACATCACAAACTCCTGAAGAAGAACTCTTAAGTTATACATGTTCATATTGTAACTTGGTTTTAGTTAATTACAGTCAATACAGGGCTCACCTCAAAAATCATTTATCACTAAAGAAATATAAGTGCATACAAGGCGAGTGTGTAGAGTTTTTTGACACAGTTGAAAGTTTGCTTGATCATGTTTCTGTTATCCATGAGATACCTGTCTATATTTGTCATCTATGTAGTTCCACTTTCAATAGCTTGGAAGATATTGCTACACATTTGCAGAGTGATAATGATGGGTGTAAAGAAAGTCAAAAAAAGTTAAAAGTATTTAAATGTTCACAATGTGATGCTAGATTTAGGAAATATGAAAAACTAACTCTTCATTTATTGACAGAGAATCATAACAAAATATGTATTCATTGTAATAAAACATTTGCAAGTGATAAGAGATTACGTCTGCATCTACAAATACATAGGAAACTGAAACCATTTCAGTGTAACATTTGTAACAGCAGTTTCCACATGAAGAAATATTTATCCACACACATGCTGAAGCATGGTAACAGGCAGTTTAAGTGCTCAGTTTGTAAATACACATTCAAACGTCAGGACTTGCTTCAAAGGCACATGAAGTTACATCAAGCTAAGAAGATGTTGAAATGCCCCTTTAAAGATGCTTTGGATTGCAAGAAGGAATTTAGCCGGACTGACAAATTGAAATCACATATAAAATCTCATACAAAACATATAGCTCTTCATGCAAGGCCTAAAAAAGCTCCTCATGAAAATGTTACTGAGCTAGGTACTAATGAGTAATAAGAAAAGCAAAGAAATTGATAATTTAAAATGTTGATTTCTGGTAAAAGATATATTAAATTTATAATTGAAGATGTGAAGGTAGTTTTGAAATTGAATTAATTTGAATTTGCAACTTGAATACCCCCAAAGTGATGAAATAAAGGTGGTTAGTTGAGCTATGTTATGCAGCTGAGGGGCTTCATTCAAACAGCTAGCTATATCTAATTAAGCAATAAGTCAGTGAAGCAGGAAGGTTCCTATGGAAAGGACATAAGAAAAAGTGGCCAATTTAAGTTTATTATTCTTGTGAAATGGATTTCCATAATTCATTAGTACTTTTACTTATTTTATCTTGTCATCTTGTTATTAGTGATGTAAGTAATTTTAAATCTAATAAGTGAATTTATCAATTGTTTTTTATGGAAGAATGATGACATTGTGAAATTGTTTTCAGGCCCGACAATTCCGTGTTACAGATCAAGTGTTTTTTGAAATCACAAGTGAAGATAAAGTCCTTGGTCGAGTAGTTATTGGCCTGTTTGGTGACTTAGCCCCAAAAGCTGTTAAAAATTTCAAAGTTTTAGCCTCAAAAGGCATAAATGGGAAGTCTTATAAGGGCACTTCATTTACTAGAATAATTAAACGATTTATGGTACAAGGTGAGAGACAAATCTAATTAATTTAACATTTGTATCTATTCTCAGATATTGACTTTATGTGAATACAATGAGAGTGTAGGGTGTTAATTCAATAAATAATAATATGAAAGGATAGGGTAGGAAAATTTAAAAATATGATATTTACTGTGTTTAAAATTTTTTGATAAGAAAATTTATTTCTTAAAATTTTTAGTGTCATACAAATATTTTCCCAAAAGGTACGAGGAACATTGTCAAATGTTACCTCTCCTTTTATCACAGGAGTTCATTTTTATGTAATTGTAATAGTTCTAATGAAACTAGAACTATGATTGGGGAACATCACACTTTTTCAATAAACATAGTGCTATATTTGGTGACAGGTGGTGATGTGGAAGCTGATGATGGAACAGGTTCAATAAGCATTTATGGTGAAACATTCCATGATGAGAATTTGGATACACAACACAGTGGGGCAGGATTTGTGTCAATGGCTAATAAAGGTATTGTTTTTATTTTACTAAAGGCCCATCCCAGCTTTGCTCAGGTATATTTATTTACCAATATTCCCTGTAAATATATCTACAATTTTGCCTTCATATAAACTTTATCATAATAAACAACAAAAATGAAAATATGCCAATTTGTTAATAGGTCAGTATGGTAGTAGTATGTAGTAGCAGTAGTTATGCACACACCTACATACATTTTGATTGTGTAGCGCGGGATTTTATTTGGCTAGGCTGTGGCTTCGCTACACTGTGGCTGCAACGCGGCGCAGCGCTACCTATTACAGTAACACGCATGCGCGGCCCCCCCTCCGCCGCCCGCACACCCCGCGCGCCAACGCAGGCCGAGGTGGCGCGAGCGGCGGCGCGAGAGAGCGCCCCAACCCTCGTCGCGTACGGGCGACATTCGTATTCCTCCGCGACTCGACGCCACTTTAACCTATTGTAACCATGTGCTTTAATATAAGAACTATAGATGTATCACGTGACTAATTATGTTATACAAAGAATAAAGTTTTAATGTTTCAACCATTAAACTGGCGCCCAAACTAGTGGCCGAATCGTAACGACCGTTACAAACCGAGATCCAGTGCCTACGTGACCGCGGGTAAAGTACCTACCTACCCGAACCTACTCGCCGCGTTACCGTTGTCATCACTAACGTGAAGATGCCGACAACGAGGAAAGGAGAAGCCCTCCGTAAACAACGTGGTGAAGATGAAGGTGACGTCACGCTCACTGAAGAGGAGAGCGTCGCCGAGCGCGGCCACGTGGATGATGCCGCGCGCGCCGGCTCGAGGTCGACATCTCAGCCAGCTCCCCAGATCCCAACAGACTTCTTATCCACGCTGATCGAGACGATCACGCGTGCGCAAGTGGAAGCCAACAGAAGCCTCATCAACACGCTGATGACGTCCAGCGGCGACTTCAGAGCCTCCACCCCAGTCGGGATCTCGTCATCAAACGCGACCAGCGCAGGTGTCGCTGTCGCACCTGCGCCGTGCAGCGACGCCAACTTCACGAAGTGCACGGCGAGATACGACGGATCATCCCAGGACACCGAGGTCCTGGAAGCGTTCCTGGACGCCGTCGAAGTTTACAAGGAGTGTGCAGCGGTGAGCGACGAGCACGCCCTACGTGGGTTGCCCATGTTGCTGGAAGGCGACGCCGCCGTGTGGTGGCGCGGCGTGAAAGCATCGGTGCCCACGTGGACGGACGCGATAGCGCGGCTTCGCGCCACCTTCGGCGTGGCGCAGCCCGCGCATCAAACCCTCCGAGAAATATTCGCCAGAGAGCAGGGAGAAGAACGTGCAGAAACATTTATATGTAAAGTGCGCGCGTTACTCGCTAAATTACCGTACACGTTGGAAGAAAATGTGCAGGTGGACATTTGCTACGGTTTACTGCACCGACGCGTAGTGAAAAGAGTGCCGCGAGACAGTGTTCGTAGGTTAGACGACTTATTATATAAGGCTAGGATCGCGGAGGATACCTACAAAGCGTCAAAGGTAAAGTCCGATATTGTAAATAATAATAAATCGACCGAATCACCGGCGGTGACTACCACCGACCGAGATTTAACACAATTAAGTTCCGTTACCACGAACGCGACTACGTCGCGTTGCAGCCACAGAAATAGGCCCCGTTGTAATTATTGTAAACTTTTCGGGCATGTTAGCGACGAGTGTCGTAATCGCGAGAAGTCTACCATTAAGGGTAATAGTAATAATATACCCAGGGAGTTACGTTGTTATGGTTGTGGTAAGCAGGGCGTCGTGAGGTCGAAATGTGATGTTTGCGCGGAAACAATATCGAAACCCAACGACAAAACATCTTTCAACATTGTTGATGTAGATTTTTGTTCCGAGGTAGAAAATAATAGTTACGCGAGTCCGAGTGATATAGATTCGTGCGTTAATATTACGAATATTAGTACGCGCGACAATCACCCGATGGTAAATATTAGTGTCGCGGGCCGTGGCGGCGTGGCGATAATAGATACCGGCGCCACGCATAGCATCGCGAGCCCCCTCTTACACCGAGTTCTAGTAGACTCAGGAGTCCACTTCACCGAGACGAAACGTTTCGTGCGCCTGGCTGACGGATCGCAAGGGTGGAGGGACCTGTTATCAGCCGAGGTAGAGGTTAGTATTAAAGGTCGTAGGGTAACGTGCCAATTCTTAGTATTACCTGGAAGTGATATTAGGACGCTTTTAGGTATAGATTTTTTAACGCGGGCCGGCATGGTAATAGACGTCGCCCGCCGCACATGGTCGTTCTCGGACAGTCCGGGACAGCCGTATGATTTTGTTTACACGTATACTCTCGACTCAGCTGATACAGGCCTATTGCACACTACACCTGAAAGTGAGTTGTCGCGACCAGTTTGTCCTGACGAGCAGAACGACTGTGACCTATGTATGACGGTTATTGACATACCGAAAGGGAACAGTGGTGATATCCGCAGCAATCAGCTGTTAGACTCAGAGGTTCGCAAGATCATTGAGGACATGGAGTCCGACGAACCCTCTAGGGGGAGGCCTTGGTTTGATCGTGGATACACCATATCTGACGGTATCCTATACAGGTACAGCTTGGAGTCCGATGATGGAGAGGACTGTCGCCTAGTTGTTCCTGAACACGAACGCAGGCAAGTTATGGTCGACTTGCATGATGCGCCGACAGCTGACCAGAAGAGAAGGCTGCCGCCTGAGTATAAGGTAGGTGACTTGGTCTTGTTGAAGACGCAGGGGCCTAACGACACAGACCGCGGCCAGACTGCGAAGCTCATCCCACGTCGTGACGGCCCGTACAAGATAGGGAAAGTCATCAGCCCGACCACCTACGGTCTGGAGAACGTACAGACTGGAACGAACGTCGGAAAATATCACGTTTCGCACCTCACACCTTTCGCGGGTCAAGTAGAACTTCCCATTCGCGAAAAACGCAAGCGGGGCAGACCGCGTAGGTATTTAGACTAGCCCAACTGTGGGGACACTTAGTTAGGCTAGAGGGGGAGGATGTAGCGCGGGATTTTATTTGGCTAGGCTGTGGCTTCGCTACACTGTGGCTGCAACGCGGCGCAGCGCTACCTATTACAGTAACACGCATGCGCGGCCCCCCCTCCGCCGCCCGCACACCCCGCGCGCCAACGCAGGCCGAGGTGGCGCGAGCGGCGGCGCGAGAGAGCGCCCCAACCCTCGTCGCGTACGGGCGACATTCGTATTCCTCCGCGACTCGACGCCACTTTAACCTATTGTAACCATGTGCTTTAATATAAGAACTATAGATGTATCACGTGACTAATTATGTTATACAAAGAATAAAGTTTTAATGTTTCAACCATTAAAATTGTTATTATTTATGGAGTTACAATTTAAACTCAGCAGTAAATATTTTATTAATCGGATAATATAGATTCGCATTTTAAGAATAACACTTTCTTGAGTAGATTAAACTTCCTGTTTTAATGGGTACCATTGTTCCAGGTCCTGATACAAATGGATGTCAATTTATTATAACTACCACTGGAACACCTTGGTTAGACCATTTGCATACAGTAGTCGGAAAGGTAAGCAGATATCCTATCGTGCTTAAAACTTTGCTTTTTATAACAAATAAACATTTATTTTTTTATTTATTATTGCTATATGGCCAAAACATTGATATTGGTCCTACTTAATTTTATAAAAGTAAGTAAGGTTTGTAGGTATGGATGGAGAGTTTCTAATGGAACGATGGATGAATGTGTGTTATTTTTTAAATTCAAGTAAAAACTACTGATCTAAATTTAAATGAAATTGGAAACAGATTTTTATGCGATAAGACAAACGTGCAGACGGATTACCTGAGCACCCTCAAAAACGGAAGAGTTACGAGTGCGTTGCCCAAAAGGTTTTGGGGATTTAGGGATTGGTAACCTCACTTACATGGCGAAACATAACGCTGTGGTTGTTTCACGCCGGTTTTCTCTGAGGCGGTGGTATCACTCCGGTCGTTCCGACCCATTCGTGCTAAAGCATGCCTCTCTTACCTACACTCGCACACAAGATTAATTGATATAATACATCTGATGAGACAAGACATCTAAGGTACCACCTGTAAACGATTCTCGATTTGTCCTACAACTCCATACTTGCTAACGAATGCAACGAACAACTAAATAAAATAGTATTAGTATAGTAAAAGCGTTCGACTAACCTTTTTTAACTATTGAAACTAAACTAATCCTTGAGAGCTTTTTCGGCATCGGCGTCTAAGGAAACGAATGGTTTGATGACTTTTTGGATAGTTCAGAATTTAAAGATTAATTTATTCAATGGGCTACAGGTGGTGGACGGTCAAAACGTGGTGCATATGTTGGAGCATACTCCGACTGACGTGGACGACAGACCGTTACTGCACGTGTACATATCAGACTGCGGCTTGGTACCGACCCTCGAGCCCTACTACATATCTGATGATCCTTATGAGTAAGGCTTTCTTTTCAATGGTTAATTAACACACACAACACACATCATCAGCCTATTATAATTAGTCAGACGGCGTTGCGAGGTAAGCGGCCTAGAGCAGGAGAAAGAATGGGAGTGTTTTTAGGCAGTAAGAGTCTGACACTCCCTCTCGCTTAACCCGGGCGGGAGAGGTCACTTGATGATTTTTCCCTGACAAAAACACCCACATCACACATCATCACATTTTTAGTGCCCACTACCGACCAAAGGCCTCTCCTCACACGGGAAACGTTTGAGAATTGGTCATTACACTTGCTCAAGGCGGATTGGCGATTTCGAACTTATAATTAGAAATTATAAGTCCAGGTTTCCTTACGACATTTCCTTTCATCGTTTGTGTGTCTAAGTAGGTACGTTAGGTATATCTCATTGACACTTGCCAGGTTTTGAACCCACACCCTCATACATAACAAACGGGCGCCTTAACTTCCAGGCCACCACGACGAAACAGTGTCAGTCAATAGTCTAGTTTTATTTAGGAAAGTTAGCGTGTCTAGTACCGAAGTTTGAATATTTGATCATGTTTTTATTCTTTGTTTCTAGTTTATGGGCGTGGATCAAAGCGTCAGCGGTACCTCTAACCATGTCTTTCTCTATCCTCGGCTTTTTCCAATGGATGATGAGGAAGATGGAAATATAGTTCATTTTTTTTTAAAGTTTGGTTATGACGGCAGGTTAGGTTAAGTAAAAAGTCCATTTTTATATTTTTAAGTTATTTATTTATCATTTTATTGTGATTTTTCGTTTTAATATAAAATTTTATGTATAGTCACAAACCATGTAAAATTGTCAATAATTTATACATATTAACAATCTATTTAAACAAAATGCCACTGATTCAATATACATATTTATTTGTACGAATTTATATAAAGTAAGAATAATAAATAAGGTGTGTTTTCTTTCATTTCATTTAACCACTGCTGCTACTTACTACAATATATTGTGTTATCCAGTTTAAGTTACATTAGTTTATTTAGTAGATAGTCATATGTTACTGAAAAGTATGCATAAGTACCTACATTTGCGTTCAAACGTAGTTCGAATCATGTGGGTACACTTTGTGGAATAAAATTATGTAGGTATAACGTAAAATTGACAAAGAAGCCAAATATTGTGAAGCCACAGTAATGCAAGTACGGAGGTTGGATTACTGGGACTTATCACATCATGTCCTCAATACTCTTCAATCGAAGAAACAATGTGTACCTAACTAGTCGGCGGTAGATACCTACAGAACTGTATTGCTTATACACTTGTACTCCATTTCGCACTGCACACAATAAAATAGCACTTTAGTTAGTGTTAGTTGTCACAGATTAAAGTTGGTCTGCAGGCTATAGTAGTAGTAGTGCGGTGGCCAACAATATAGTGGCTGGGGCTAGAAGATGCGCGTGCGCAGCGTCAGGCGCGAGCTGTCCGGGCGTGTCGCGATTCCCCAGTTGCTGCGCGGCGGCGCCACAAGCGCGGGAGCACGACTCCCACGCGCGGCACACGTCGCACGCACTCGCCGCGGTCGGGGAGAAGAATACGCGTGCTCGGTGACCTACCGTGGAAAAGGAACGTTAGAACAATACATGACATGGTTTTATAATAATGTTTGTCAAAGTCATAGATGACATTATAGAATTACTATGAATTTTTTTATTAGGCATTTGACTGCCGACAAAAACTGTTGAAAGCTAACCCTCCGCTAGCGTCGGGCAGTATTGTCCGACACGGCGTTCTAAGTGTTAAGTAGGTACTGACGGCCCACCCCCACTTCGTGCGGGTCCAACTATCAAACGCAAACAACGGAAGCCTTTTTTATTTTCTTTGATAAGAACCTTTTCCTGACATTAATAAATAGATACAACAAATTAATAATCGACAAAATTGGTCCAGGCGCTGATCAGTTATGCGCTTAAAAAGACATATTACGATTCATTTTTATATTATATAATATGTACTTGTATTTATTGTAGTTATATTGGAACTAGTCGGCGGTACATATTAGACAGCTCACAGACGTGAACACAGCAAGGCTTGTTTATTTTAGCTATTTTCACAGCATTATGTCGTACGGAATTTTGCTATGGGGTCGAGCTGCGGAAGTAGATTCAATATTTATTTTGCAAAAGCGGGCTATCCGAGCGATATATAACTTGTCCCCTCGTGAATCTCTGAGAGAACTATTTAAAACGATAAATATCCTAACGGTACCTTGTCAGTTTATATATGAAAATATTATGTAAGTACGTAAGGAAAAATTTGCAATTATTTGAAAAAAGAAGCGATAGACACAATTTTAATACTAGAGGCAAAGATAGGCTGGCTGTGCCACGATTCCGTCTGTCCAAAGTACAGAAATCCTTTATGGGGTTCTGTGTAAATTGTTACAATAAAATTCCAAGAAGTGTATTAAATCTTAATGAACGAAAATTTAAAACTTATATTAAACGCGAATTATGTAGACAGGCATACTACAAACTTTCAGATTATATTGAGGATAAGAATGCCTGGCAGCATGTTGGTTCGGCTCCACTGGACAATTCTCAAATATGTAGTCAGTAGTTATTAAAATTCTCAAAATTAATGAAACCTTGAATGAGTTTATATAGAAGCATTCTTTTGGATTGTGAGTACGCATATGTGAGCGCCATGTACGAGACAACAAAGGATTAAAATTTTAATGATAGATTAAATAGACCATAATTTGTTCCTTTTTATTAACAACGTGTCTCTGCATTGTTCTCACATAGGGGTACAGTAATGTATAAAAAATGTATTATTGATGAATTGTAAAACAAATTTTTTTTTTAAAAGAGTAACGATGGAGTTTCTTGCTCGTTCTTCTCCATTCGAAACTACAATTTGGAACGAGCACCTAGCTTCACTGACGAACAGACTGACAGACTACTATTCTATTTTGACGTTTCAAAAGTACCTATTTATGGTTTATTTGGAATAAATGATTTTGATTTGATTTGATTTGATTTGAACTAAGTTTAGCGTAACAATACCAAATAATTTTCTTTTTCAGGTGTAGGTAGATAGGTACAAGTAATAATAACGTCAATAAGACTAGAAAACATATAAGCAATACAAACTGGAATCGTAGAGATCCTGCAGCGTAGCCCAGGCGGGGCGCTGCCTGGCGACGGGCAGTGCCCGCGGCGCGGCCAGCGTGGCGCAGCGCTCGGCGCGTGCAGCGCGCACGGCGGCCAGCACGCGCGTGCCCGCGCCCGCCACGCGCGCCCACACCACGTGCCGCACCGACTGTCACAAAGAACAACAACAATTATGGGTATTTCATAGGGACCTACTAGAATGTACCTACCGCTTAGTTAGAAGATCTGATCCCACTCATAAATTTGTAGTGGAATCGTATCTTCTATCGAATTCGAAATAATCATCATTACCAGAATATGCATAAATAAATGAACCTCACAGAAAACTGGTGTGACACAATAACACAGCGTTGTGTTTCGCCGTGTGAATGAAGTTACTGGAAGCACAATCCCTCCCCCTCCCGCATCCCTTCCCAATCCTTAAATATCCCCAAAAGGCCGGCAACGCACTCGTAACTCCTTTGGTGTTGCGGGTGTCCATGGACGACGCCGATTGCTTACCATCAAGTAATCCGTCATCTCGTTTGCAGACTTATCAAAACTTAAAAAATAAAGGAGGTATTTTTTAGAGAGGAGTTATTAAATGGACGTCAAATTTTCATTCCTTGTACGGTCTAGGTAGGTAAAATGCATTATTCCTAAACTACCTACATAGCGTGGCACTTACCGTCAATTCAGTCAACGTGGTGATATCCGCTACATATCCTGATGGAAGTTGGACAGTCAGTAACGTGAGACCACTCTCCGTTTCATTGCCTTGTGCTACGAATCTGTGAAAAACGAAACGACAAGTTAAATAGGTAAGTACTTAAGTGTGGAAAAAGGTAAAGCCACAAGCATATACCTATTTAATTCAAAATGATCCAAGTTACCCAAAACAAACGGAGAGCTGGAGACGGTCTTTAGTGGACACCTGGTCCACTCTGGGGTCGAGGGTATACCGCGGCCAAGGTGCCGTCACATTGGTAGCACCTCGAGCAGACAAGCCAAGAAGACCGAGACCACGACCTTCAGTCACTGCGCTAACGGATCGGCTGGTGCGGATCTACACATTGAAAAAACAATATAAGATCTTTTTTTTGTTTTTAAAAAGAACGTTGCTCCACTCTAGGATTTTCTCCTGTGTCATGGGAGCGTTTACAAACATACTATTTCACATACACATGACACACCCAGAACCGAAACAACAGTTTGTGGATCACACAAAGAACGCGCGACACGTCGCACGGCAGCCAGTTGCCCAGCCATCGCGCCAACCGTGCAGTCGGACTACTAGAGAAACGCCAGTAAACTAGCCTTTTAAGCGACTATAGGCATAAAGTGACCGATATTTAAACAGGAGATTGTAAGTACTCAACTTTCCCAAATAAACTTTTTCTATTCTCATTAGTTTTTTTTAATAACTCGCGCGCTGCTGTTGGTTCTACCCTGCACGTAGCGGATCAGGCGATGCACAGCGGGCGCGCGAACCTTGTTATAAGAAGTAATCCAAACTAATATTATAAATGCAAAAGTAACTCTGTTTGTCTGTTTTTTACGCCTAAACTACTGGACCCATTTCTGTGATATTTGGAATAGGTTAAATGTGTGTACGTTACCGGTTTCATCTGTATCACCAATGCATTATTCTCTGCAATCTGGAATTGTCTTGCTTCTTCCGATCCAGTGACGTTCACCGACACTCGCAGCTTCGATGATGTCTTCGCAACTTCCGCATATTGTGCCAGTGCATCCATCTGAAATGCATAAGAATCGACTTAGACTCTATTAAAATATCCTGCCGGGGTTGCAGGGCAAGCGCAATAGGTACCGCGGCCTCGGTTTAGAGCAGGAAAAGCAACGGGAGGGTTTTTAGTCAGTAACGGTCTGATTTACTTTGTTTGGCCTCATCCTGAGCGAGAGAAGTGATTTGATGATTTCCCCTTACAATAAAAGAACTACGTATTAAATTATTGGAAATTAAGGTTCTCGCTATAAATGACTGCCCCGTCTGTAGGCGTCAGCGGAACAAGGGGATGTAGTGCTCTTACACATCCCTTTCAGAGACAATCTCATTAGAAGATTATAAAGTTAAATTAGACAGTACACATGCGTAAGTAAATATGGCAAATGTAATGTATGAGAGCCATGTAATAGGTTGAGACAGTCAGTGAAAGAAATACTCACGATCATAATTGAAACTAGCGCCATAAATGCGACAGTTACAACGTATGCATTGCGTTTGCCTTTTGCAATATTGTAGGTATGCTACAATATTGCAAAACACGTGTTTTTTTTGTATGGAATGGGAGGCAAACGCCTGTTTGCCTTCCATTCCATACACATACGTGTAAACAAAAACAATAGTTATGTGACTTTGTAAGTCATAAGTTACTCACCACTTCAGGATCAGGGTCATGCGGTAGGTACGCTTGCAGCAGGTACCTGACAACAGGAGTAGCTTCCTCCACCAGCCGAGCTCCTAACATGGCCCGCAGGCCCCAAGCTGCTGTCGTAGCCTCTAAGCTATTGCCCTTTAACCAGGGATTCCGCCACTCGTTACCTGATAGTATTCGTGACCAGAATAATGTTGAACCTGAGGAAGATTAAATGCAGGATTTGATATACGTAGATCAGTAGGTCCTTCATAGCGCCTGTAGTAAAAAATGTTAGCCTAAAAATATTTATACTGCTTTAAACTATAAAGTCATGCTCAGTGTTTCAGAGAGTAGGTAGGTACAGCACATTCAATTTTGCTTTTGTTTTGTTTTTAAAAAAAACAAGCGTTGCCCCACCTATCCGACCCCAACCTAGACCCGGAACAACAAATTGTGGATCACACGAGGGTTGTTCTGTGCGGGAATCGAATCCGGCCGCGACACGTTGCAGTCAGTCAACTTAGTAAGTCTCAAGTGATGCCAAAGCAAAATATTTTGAGTGCAATCTATTTTGTCGATAAAAAGGCAAAATTAAGTCGGTACCTGTAGCGTTGGCGTATTTGTCCATGATTTCTAATGTTTGCGTGAGTTGTGGGTGTCTAGTGACAGCCAGAGCTCCTCCTATCAGAGCCAGAGAATACGCGTCTAGTTCTGGTGATAGCCCTCGGGCCACGAAGTCCACTGCCTTGTTGATGTTGTTCTTGTATAAGACATCACTGCCCTGTAACATTTTTGCAAGAATAGCTATTAATAATTTGGTGGTTGTAAAATTTGAAAATCACATCCAATGTTCATTGAACTTCTGAGGCCTTTTTCTTTTTCTTCATGATACTGTGCAATATTTTTTCTACACAGAGTTTACATTATATGGCCTGCTTAGGTCATTTTTACTGTTAAAGATGACCTAAGCAGGCTAGGGGGCAGACACAAAATTGCAGACAGAACAACCACAGCGTTGTGTTTCGCCATGTGACTGAGGTTATGGGAGCGCGGAGGTCCAATTCGTAGCCCTTATCCCCCGAAGGGCGGGCAACGTACTCGCAACTTCTGTGACCATGGGCGGCCCCGATTGCTTACCATCAGATAATCTGTCTCCTCATTCTCTTCTCGTTAATACTGACCTTGGAGTGGTGGAGGGCTATAAGTGAGTATGCAGTGAGGGGTAGTGTGGTCTGTGCGTGTGGCGCAGTGCGTGCGGAGGGTGCGGGCGGCGGCCAGTCCCCGGCCGGCCGCTGCGCATGCGCCAGCCACGCCGCCGCCTCGCGCGCTGCCGTAGGCTCTACTTGGACGTAGCGCGCGCATCGCGACAACCAACGACACGCTACCGCCGTCATCCTACAACATACAGCTTACTTATAGTCCATCTTCCAATATGTTTCAATGTTCAATAAAAACAGTAAACAGTAAAAAAAAGTAATAAGATATTGAGGACATTTTCAATAATATAATTAAATAAAAAAAATCCTAACTATTCTTACGTGGGAGAGCCAAACTACGATATGAATGGATCGGGTCAACCGGAGTGAAACCACAGCATTGTGTTTTGCCTTGTGAGTGAGATTACCGGAGGTCCAATTCTTCTCCTCCTCCCATACCTCTCTAACCTTAAATCTCAGAAAAGCTAATCGTCCATAGGCGATTGTTTAACATCAAGTAATTTGCCAGCTCGTTGGTCGCCGTATTACATAAAAAAATATAAGCAACCTGAAAAGGGTATCGCCGCTCGTTTCTTAGTGGTTAATCGTGATTACTTTAAAGTCTTTTACGAAAAATATATTTTTTTGATGTATATAAATACCACTACAGTAACTTAGAACAGCCCGTTGTAGTTTTGGACTTTTTCAAACACGTGGTTCATCTTACTGTCCTCAATACTTTTAGGATTAGGCATAATGATTGTAAGGAACCAACGAAACTTTACATACCAAACATCTCCTTCTGCATCAGCATCAAGTTCCGCTGCAAAAGAACCGTCAGATCGTCGGAAGGCCATTAGACGTTGGTAACCAATGGCTGCCAGTTCCTTTGCTTCTTTAGTTGAAGCTACTTCTTCTTGTCCTGAAGCCTGAACAGAAGGATCGAATTTCTATAAGTCACACGTTCTATCTTATTCTATACGCACCGTTCCACGACCTTCATTTCTTTTTAAAAATTAGCACAAACCTGCAAGTAATCCAGTAGAACGCAAGCTAGTGCTAATGGTCTCACAGCATAAGTCGGGTCTGCGGCGGGAGCTGGAGGCTCTCTCACAGCCTGCAGGGCTCCAGAGAGCAAGTCCCCTGTAGCTTGAAGTGATGTGGGACCCGCCTTTATACCTGGCGGTACTTCTAGCGTTACGTTAGCTCGGGCTACTCCACGACGGGCGTCCAGTAGACTCCATGAGAATAAATCCTCTTCGTAACCATCCTGCGACAGATATTATAAGGCCTTATTGAAAATACATATAATTTATGCATGACTAGCTGACCAAGCAAACTTCGTACTTCCCTAAATATAACTGATAATTTTGTTGTTTAGTATTTTTTTTTCTGAGCAAAAATCGTGGGAAAAATTCATGACTACAATAAGCCACAATTCTAGAATGGCATTGAACTTGATCATCAGTTGTACCTTGACTTGAATAGTCCTGAAGAGTGAGTCGGAGACGCCATTGCCACTCGCTTCGACGATGACAGGCGCATCTCCACTGCGCACCACTGTGACTAAGAAGGCAGTGCTCACGGAGCCACGCGCCGGGACCATCACGCGGACGCGACGGAATAATTCAATTTCTATAGGAGTAACAAAGAAAGAAATTCCGTTCTTAGAATATCTATACTAATATTATAAAGAGGTAAAATTTGTAAGCTTGTAAGTTTGTATGTAGGGGGTAATCTTTGGAACCACTGGTCGGATTTTACAAAATTTTTGATTCGTCTTCACTGATAGATAGCTACAACGTTCCTGAGTGCTATAGGCTATAAATCATCACGCTATGATCAAATGGAGCAGCGGGTGAAACCGCGTGAGAGTAGCTAGTATCTCATAAATTACGAAGGTCTGAAACGTTTATCTATTCTCATATCTATTTTTTTGAGAGGAATATCGGATCCATCCGCTTAAATTGAGGCGAGAGGGTGTGTCAGACTCTTATCGACTAAAAACCACCTCGTTTCTTCTCCTGTTCCAGGACGACACTGAAGTGAATTATTGTGCTTGCCCCGCATGGCTTGTACCTACGTAATAGATACTTCAACTTACTTTTCGCTGAATCGAGTTCGTTATCGAGAGGTTCGAATTCGAAGTATTGATCGCTGTTGTAGAAAGTGACCTCAACGGATGTGTCTACCGCTAGTGTAGTCTTCAAGATGATTACTGCAGCTACAGTCTCTCCTCGTTGAAGAGTGGCAGGTAGCTCTGCAGATATCGACAGGGGAACGGATGTGGTGAACTTCTGTGGGGAAGCCAGTCCAAGGCCAAGGGTAGGGTGGACTGAGAAGGCTCCGATTGAGAATTCACCAGGCGTCACTGCTGTCCAACGTTCTTTGGCTCCTTGTCCATCATTACTGTGGTAGAAAGCTCAGATAGAAGTTTATGTAGAAGGTTAACATAGAAGCAGTAGACAGATATGACATTCTCGTATTAGGTACTTTAATCGTCAGCTTACCCAATAGTAAGGTTGGCCAGCATCCATGTGGGTTGTGGTGTGACAGTGAGATAGTACCGAGGGGATGGCGGTGGGGGCAACCGACTGAAGGCATATGGTCCTGCTTGAGGAGCCCGAGTGCCTGTTTCTACCACGGCTTGGGTTGGAGCTGAGCATGGAATAAGGATTTTAATTAAGTAAAGTGGAAAAATATGAAACAGTCCAAGAAATTGGAGGATCATCTTTCTTAGGTCGTTTTGAATATCTGTGAAAGGTGGTTCCTGGAGTTTATAATAAGAATGATTAAAGAAATTTTTTTTAACATAGATCAAGTAGGAAGTAAACTTACCTTCTGTATTGCCTTTGACAACCACACCGTCAGTAAGGATAACCACGCCAGCGTTCTAAAAAGAAAGATTATTGTGTTTCAGTTTCTAATAAGGAATGTTTTCTAGTTAGGTAAACTTGGAAGAAAATAAAATAAAATTCTAATACAAACTTTGAAAACATCTGCAGCAGTGTAGCCACTCAGGTCCAAGCCCATTCCAGGAAGATGGTCTTCATTTTTGAATATCGAATGCGATAGACCGTTGAAGCTTTCTACTTCTCGCTCAACCTGGAGTAAGGACATTAGATACTTCAATTTTCTGGCATCAAAGTCAACCTAACCTATTATAAGACGAATAGGTTTCCCTTTCAAATACTTAGAAAACCAATAGAATTGTAAATAAGACATTAATTTCCGTGGACACCTTTTAACCTATCAAGGGTGTATAGGAATTAAAACCTTAACTCAAGTTAGGAATAAATCAGTGAATTTCTTTTTTGCAGACCAGTTTTTTTTTGTGAGGGAAAAATCATAAAATGACTTCTCCCGCCCAGGGCCGGGCGGGAGGGAGTGTCAGACTCTTACTGACTAGAAACCCCCCTGTTCCTTCTCCTGCTCTAGGCCGAGGTCGCGGTGCCTCTTTGCGCTTACCCCGCAACCCCGGCTGAAAAGACCAGTTGCGGTTGATGGACGCTGGAGACTTCCCAGTCAAAAATGTTTAAGGACCTATTTCCTATCATTTAAAGGAAATGTGGAAGAGTCAAGTTAGGGCACGAATGGGACTGCTCGACCGGAGTGATACCACGGCCTCACAAAAAACCAGTGAGAAAAAAATACAGTGTTGTGTTTCGCTATTTGAGTGATTAGAGGCCCAATCCTTCCTCCAATTCTTAAATATCCGGCGCCAATTCTTAAATATCCGACACCCTTATTACCAAAAGGCAACGCACTCGTAACTCTTTTGGTTGTGTGAATGGGCGGCGCCGATAACTTACCATCAGGTAGTCCTTATACTCGTTTGTCGACCTCTCTCATAGAAAAAGTGCCAAAATATCGATTATGTCACTTACAGTGTGCATATCAAGTCCATTGCCAAGTCCATTTTGGTTGGCGAGTCCAGCTTGTATAGCCTTGGTGTCTTCAGCCAATAGAGCCACGTATGCGCCTGCGTCGCCCGACACTCGCAGCTCTACCAGAGTATTGGGGCGTGCGCCCGCGCCGCCACTTGATACAGGAGATATTGCGATCTGTGTAGAAAAAGAAATTATGTATGAAAAAATATTATTCCGGCACGTTTTTTAAAATAGCTTTTTAGACTTGGAAAGGCTTTGAAGACTAAATGAATATTTTTAAGTGATGTCTGATGTCTGTAAATAGATTTATATCACCGCTCTATTCACATCTTGGAGGGATGAGATAACAGGGTGTAAAGTTCCTCATCCTTCATTGAAAAGGGAGGATCCTCCGAGTGTTACGTCTGGTGGGCTATTGCTCGAGAGTTGTACTTTGGGATTTTCTATCCGTGTTTATTAGTGCGAAAATATCTTTTGCGCGATGTAGGACTTGTCTTGTCTTGATGATTGTGTGACCATCTGTTGTGTATTGTTGTCAAGCTATGTGAGTCGCCACAGATTAATGGCGTAATATTTAATGTTATAAAGCTTGTTTGTTTGGTTGGATGCACTAAACTCTAGAACTACTGAATATTCAAAAAAAAAAATTCATTTCTTTTTGTGTTGTCCATAGGCTATAAAATATCACGCTACAATTTATAGGAGCAAGGTAGCTAGTCATAAAATGAAAGTACTTACATCATTCTGTAGTAGGTTGGATTGTGGCGCATAGACTGCGGCGGCGAGCAGGTTGTTGACGTCGAGGCGCGGGTACCACGCCACCAACACGCAGCCCGGGGACATGCGGGATGTTACCGACACTGTCACGTCTACGCTGCGACGGGCTGGGCTCAACTATGTTATAAATCATTAATTAGTATAATTAGGTACCTAATTAATATTGCTATTTTTGAAATACAACAAGAACAGGTCTGGCCAATCTGTTATTCTTTTTTAAGGCATAAGACGTTTAATTTGATTAAAAAGCAGTTGTGCTTGATGGTGAAGAAATAACATACATACCATGTTTCCATAAGAAATAAATTGAACTGTCAATGTTTTTTTATGTCCACTCCTCCCTTCTTCCCATCCTTTCCTAAACGTTAAATATCCGAAGCATTTATCCCAACGCACTCGTAACTCCTGTGTTGTTACGGGTGTCCATGGGCGGCGCCGATTGCTTACCATCCTTATTAGGTAATCCGTCTGCTCGTTTGCCGACTTTCCCATAAAAAAATTGTATACTCAAAAATCTCTCTCTCTCTCTTTCTCTATACCTTACCTCAACGGTCTTCGCAACAATGATATCCCCTCGTCCAATCACAGCGTAGTGCACCATGTCCATAGGTTCGGTGGCAGTGATGCGCGCACGCATCTCACCGCCTACGCCAGTACCGCGCGTTAGTATCTCCGCCGTCAGGAACTGGCCGAAGGAATATTCACTTCTTTGCACGTTTACTACGCGTTCTGTTACTTCCTTGTATTTTACCTGATATAAAAAATACATAAAAACATGGATCACTTGAATAAGAAATTGAAAATGGGTCAAGTATAACAATTGCAAAAGTTAACTTAATATAGGCCACATATAGGCCACAACGAAATAAAATGAAAACCTGTTAGGCTACCAAGGTTCAGAATAGTTGTCAGATATCATTTTAAAATAATACTCAAGTAACATAATTATTAAATACATATACATACTAAGCAAGGCAAATATTATTGTATAACGTTTGTTTACTTAGTTATTTACAATTGAAAAAGTAATGAAACAAGCAATGTTACATAAAGTGATACAAAAGTTTCGGATATAGGTATTTCACGTACCTACGATTTAGAGAAGTTTTTTGACTTTTAAAAAGTACTTAGTTTTTTCTTATAAGTTATCTTAAAATTTGGTGGTGGCCGGGAGGTTAAGGCCGCTTCTAACGCATGATAGTGCGGTTCGGAAGCCCCAGCAAAAACTAATGTGACTTTTTCCGAGTTATATACTTATACTTTCTATGATTATTTAGACACCATTGCCGCATTGTGACAGAAAATTTCTCAAGGAAACCTGGATTTATAATTTCTAATTATATGCTTGAAATTGCCAATCTTCCTTTAACAAGCGTGTGAAAAGAGGCATTTGTTCAGCAGTAGCCACTTAAAGGCTGATGATGTGTTGTGAAAATTATCTTACCACTAAGTTCAGCGTAGAGTTGACATGAGCTCTATCGGGTACCACGGAATAAGTGGCGATGCCTTTGTTCAGAGTCACGGTGGTGACATTCACTGGAGCGCCATCGTCCCATAGTCGCTCTACTGTGACGTCACCTTCTGCAGGCATCACCTGCCCTGATGGGTCTACTACTTCAATCTGTTAACAATAAGATAATATTAAGTACAAGGTACTTTTGAGTGTGGAAGAGCCAAGCTTCGGCACGGATGGATCGGCTCGATCAAAATAATCACAGAAAACCGGTGTGAAACAACCACAGCGTTGTGTTTCGCCGTGTGATTGAGTGTACCGGAGGTCCAATCCCTCCCCATCCCTTATATCTGAAACCTTTATCCCAAAAGGGTCGGCAACCCACTCGTGACTCTTTTGGTGTACCCGCAACACCGTCAATGGGCGGCGCCGATTGCTTACCATCAGGTAATCCGTCTGCTCGTTTGCCGATATGTATATAAAAAAACCAACTTAATTTGCCTGTAAATGAAAATAACTTGAATGAATGAATGTCGAGTCATTGTCTTTTTATTATTTTTGTGTATCAGTACTGAATCGTTTTATATTCACATAGCAAGCAATGGTAAACAATTATGTCATCTATTCGTATTGCTTGTATCATATAAGCGTCTTTATTAGCTTTTACGTAAAACAAACTTGTCAACATTAAACTTACGGTTATTTCCAAATAAAAACTCAGACACGGCAAAAATACCCGCTAAGATATATAAATATTTGCTATGTGATGTGTCATAGAGTATAAAAAGACTGTGACCACTTCAAGAATAGTCGAATGTAAAAGAATAGTTTGACTGCACGGTTAGCTGTCGCGCAACGTTTCGCGGGTTTGATTCCCACACGGAACAACTCTTAATGTGATTCACAAATTGTTGTTTCGGGTCTGACTCTCATGTGTCATGTGTATGTAAAATTGTATGTTTGTAAAATATCACCACGACGCACGCAGGAAATCCAAGTGTGGGGCAAGGGTTTTTTAAAAAAGGATGAAGGTTAATTACCTGTACGATATAAGGCAGTGTAGGTTTGAAGTAATTGGGCGCTGTTACTTTCAGTCTATAAGGTGTTCTTAAAAGCAGAATTCTGTTCGTAATATTCTGTTTGATTAATGTATCTTTCTCTTCAATAACGGCTTCCACGACGAGCGGCCTCGCTGCATCCTCAGCCAAGTCTAGGTCAGTTTTGAGGTCGAATGTAATTTGCGCTTGACCGTTAATGTCCACGACTTTCCTTGTCGGGGCTGCGACAACCGGTTGTAGAACTCCGGAGAAGAACACCGGGTACGCAGATATCGTAAGTTCACCACGAACTGGGAGTCCGTTGAAGTGTCTAAAAATAAGTGAAAGGTACTTAAAACTTAATGGTGTATAAATACTTTCAGATCCACAGGTTGCGGATGCTAATTATGTTCCATGTATCAAGTAACGCAAGTAAATAAAAAGGCAAGACGCTAATGTACTTCAATGTAAACTAAAAATACATTCGTGCTTATACAATAACTGATGTTCAATAGGGTTTTTATGAAATTATTGCTGCTCGATCGAATTGTACTGATAAAAACTGACAGCGTTGCGTCTACGAACAGTTCTTGCTTATTTACGTAATTATTATTCTATTGAATTTGAGTGATGAGTTTTTCTGTACTGTAATGAGAAACGACAGCTTTCGCCGTGGAAATTCCTTTGTTTAAAACGATGAGAAAAGTTCATTACGGATGATCAAAGAACTCTGTTGGGTTTTTTACAGAAAAATCTCATTAAGTATCTAGTTATTATTAGAATGGGTTCTGGAAAAACATGTTTGGGATGTTTTAGGATGTTATTAAAATTTTTTTGTTACTATATAATGTGATTCTGTGACATAACATAATCAAGAACTGGTTTTTGGTAACGAAATTTGGACATAAATTTATAGAACCTGTTAAACTAAAAACAAAAATTATGTAGTATGAACGATAATCTAGAATCCTAAGGAATTAACATTGTAAGAATGAATTTATTAAAGAAAAAATATTACTTAGCGGTAACGTTGATGTCGAATCTTCCATCGGTGAACAGGACTTCCTTTGGCATGTTCATCTCCATGTGGAACCTTGGCTGTACATAGTCTGCGACCAGCACCCGTCGCGAGTATTTCTGCCCACGAGCCTCCACCTACACCAATATGCATATATATGTAACATACCTAACGCCTATCTACAAACAGAAGGTCATTCTAACGTGGGCGCTCAGATTTTTAACTTATGATTTCGAGGCTAATTGCAATTTCCGGACCTGTTAAAGCGAAATCCGACTAAATTACAAATTAATTGTTTCTTAAAAATATTATTTAGGTATTACTTACATGGTCAATTTCATGATTTGTTACCTAACTGTTTGACGATGTTTTAGGACCATAATATATCGGACTGGATTGCATTAAAAATATAATATAATTATAAGGAAGTGACAATCAAGATACTGCGTTATTGATGTTTTCCCTCTTGTTCGTGTAGGTACTTGATTACATATTCAATTTAGTCATGCACCTCGGTTCATAACTTTGTATTGATGACAAACTTCTTATGCCAGATACAAGAGAGACTATATAGAGTTGTATCAGTTATGTGAACAAAATTGTGAAAATGAAAGTTTCACGCATACTTTACTCAGTATGTAGGTAAAATATTCGAATTTTTAACTAATTAAGTAGGTCTGTCCATTTTTATATTTAGTTGTATAAATGCTTTGTTATGAGAGAATATTAATACAAATATTTAGAAAGCGGGTTACCTCATCTTTTCCGATTCAAATACCATAAGGCCACCCACGTAATGAATTAGCCTAGTGCCGTATGTGAACACGGTCCGCTACCACGATTGTTATTATATGCAGTCTAAATTACCAAAGAATATTCATAAACATTACCTGTATTGTCCATTCTCCAAGAGCAGGTTCATCAGCTAAGACCAACTCTTGAGTAAGTACTCCTCGATCTAGCTCAACACCAGCCCATTGCCTTATAGGTGACCCGCCTGTATCCAGCACACTGACGTCCACAGTCGTCGACAGAGGCAGCAGGTACCTGCGTGAATGCACGGGTCAACGACCGCTTCGTAATCACACGTAATCTTACGCGGTCTCTCGTGCAGCGATGGCACAGAAATCGAAAGTGTCTTGGGTCTTGCGCTCACTATCAAATTCTCGGTAAATAGCGCTTTGTACTGTCGTTTTCCTCAACCAATGGTACAAGGGCACAAGTGTGATAGGAAGGTAATGGTAATCAAACAAACTATTGATGTGGCACGCATTGACAATTGCGTTAGTGTTTTATTGTCAAGTATTATTGTAATGGCCTCAGTTAATTATGTAGTTTTACGATCAAGTATCGACAATGGTGCATATATTGATAACGGATTATTAAAATATTTCTGTGTATTTTCTGTCTTTTATATACTATGTACCAACATTCGTTCAAGTCTCGTCTATTTCGTTACCCAATAAGATAATAGAAATAACGGTACCTCAGTGATAAAATCGATCACGCAGTATAAATCAGCTAAGTTATTTCATAGCACTATCATAGCTAAGGAATCTTTAAAGTTAATTAAAGTAAGTTAATTAGAAGCTAGTTATAAATCTTACTTGTCCAAGGCGATGACCCTAAAGTTAATGGTGTCTTTGGGTTGGTAGACTCGTTTATCGGTTTGTACGAAGATGGCGAAACTGCGCGGTTGGTAGAACAACGGTGACGATGACGAGAATAGCGGGCCTGAGGTTGACCGCGCTACCAGCGAGTACTGCCCCGGACCAGGGTCACCGATCTGCATTCAGGTGCAACTGATTTAAGTCACGTTCAATTGTGGGAAAATCACTTCATTTAATACCACTGTCTGTCGTATATAAAGTTGTTAAGATTTGTAGAAACTTGTTCCGTAAAGTTAAAGATAAAACACCCTATACTGGAACTCACCACATATTATATTGAAGATATATTAAATTAGATATTCAGCTTAATTTTTTGCTTTTAAGTTATTACTCTCCATCTTGCTCAATACGAGTTCGTAATTTCTACTTTGGGTATAGTTGCAGTAGAATATCCATCAGTTATTCCGACTTATAAGACTTGGGTTACGAGTTCAAATCGTGGTTATAAAACATTCATTATCTGTGGCAATAACACTTCACCATACATAGTTCGAAATGGTGAATATGAAAATTGAGTAGATAGGTGTATATCGTGAGAAAACTGGTACTTGTGCCCCAGAAAGTATGCATTTCGAAGGTTGCAGTCACCAATTGAACTATCTGATCCTTTTCTTTTATAAAAGTTATGAGCCCAACTGTAATCTTATTGCTAGTAGTTTTATATAGCTTGATATAACAAAATTGTCTTTATCAATGAAGATAATAAGGTCAAGGATGGAAAAAAGACCTAGATAATTACATATGTAGAAATACTTACTTCAAGTTCTATGAGCCTGGTGGCAGCAGCAGGGACCTGCACTTCTCGTCCCTTCGTGAACTGTTCCCCATTAGCTCGTCTACCTTCCACGGCTACATACAGAGTATATGCTCTGGAGCCACCTGCTATGGCTACTGTGTAAGAGTTGAAGGGCCGCAACACTTGTGGACCTAGCACTGATATGCTGTTGAGTTTAGAAACAATTAGATTACAATCTAATTTACCTATTAGGTCTCTTTAAACACTTAAACGGCGTAGTTGTATGACTAAATACATCATTATTAGAAGCTAAAAAAAAATTATGCAGATTTCGTTGTATGTAGGAGGCGTGGCTAGTACAAAATGACACAACTGTCACTGTTACAGTAGGAAAATTGTTCCAAATTTTATCTATTTTTTGGAGGGTTATGCTGGAAACGTATCACGGAACTTAATAATTAATTCTACGAACTTAAGTTTTCTTTTACTTAAGAATAGTCAGCTGTAGTTGTGTATACTTCACTCACATTTACCAAGGTGGGAGGGAGGAGGAGGTGCCGTTACCTCACACCGTACGTACTACTAATCTGTTTGGTCTTTACGGGTCCTAGAAAGCACGGGATACTTGCTCTACATAAATTGTAATGACAGCCTTCTGGTTTAGTCTGTTAGGCTAGTCATTTTGGAATTTTCTATTTCAAAATTCTCCGTAGTGTCTGTTTGACGGTTATCCCATTATATGAAATGTGTAAGAAGAAAAACAGTAAACGCTTTTTGTATTATGTAAGCGTTGGTAATTCAATGTGTATTTAAGTAGATGTAGATGATTATATTTTGGACCGTGTGTCTTTGAATAGAGGTTTTTATAAAAGGAAATAAATGAATTTCCCGGGACACTCGGAGAGTAGTTCAACCATTTTAATTTCCAGCTTGTAGGTTCAGCATCATTATATTTATTAGGGTGGTATAAAAACATCGATGTTTTGAAAAGTTGTGCACGAATTTTAACGTTAATACAATGTCGACATAAAAATGAAAAGATATTAATTTATACGTATCTATAGCATGTAGTTCAGTAAAAATAATACGAACCATTGTACAAGGAGTGGTGCTGTCAGTGCTACTAAGAAGTAGTATAGAATTATGTTATGAGTCATCTTTCTGAAATTAAAAATGATTAACAAAATTAATAATAAGAACTATGTGGTACGCTATAAAGAATAAATTAAATACATTGCCATTGTTTCTTGGTGTGTACGTAACTCAGACTAACAAAAAACAGCTGTTATTAAAGAATTATTTATGAAACTAAAAACTTTAAACTTCAACTTCAACTTCTTTTCTTTTAGCAGTCGAAATATTTTCATGGTTTGTATTTTTATCGCGCCACAGAATAAATAAACAAAAAATATTGTGAATCGAATCTCATATGTATACATAATTGTTTTCTTCTTTCATGTTATAAAGATTATATAATATATAAAAATTTCGTGTCACGTGTGTGTGCATTTTGATCCAACTTGAAAGATAGGATAGCTTACATCTCGATTTATAGTCACAATATTATATTATTTACCTTAGCCAAAACAAAGCGTGGCTGGGTCTGCTAGTTTACTATATATTCATTCTTATATCTTTTATATAATCCGTTAATATTTAGCTCTTCAAAGTTAAAGCTAATAAGGGAAACTATGATAGGTAAGAGAAAAAACGTTTTTAAAATAAATTTATTTTCACAGAATTAAAATATAAAGAGATTTTTTTCTTAAATTCTTCTTTTTATAAAATATAACTTTAAATAAAATAATCTGTTAAAAGACTTGCAAATATCTTGGAATTGTTATGTACTTCCTACGCTTGTTTACGTTACCATGAAGGGGATCTTAACATAACAGCCTTCTGAATGGTCACGCTCTATATGGTCCGCTATGAATTAGTCTCCATTCATGTAGCTAACATTTATACATAACATAATATAATTATATAGATGTTACATACGTGTATTACGTGAAAATGTTAAGTTATAATTATTATCGCTTAGTGTCGAATCCCATTACTTTGGGTCATCTTCATGACTTTGTAAAGGTATAACTTTAATAGCTCTGCAAGTTTCTTTTCTATTTTTTGCTTTGTATTTACGGCTATTTATGTATGTTTATGATGACACATTTAAATAGAGTATGTTGCAACTTATTAACATAATTTTCTATGAGTAAGTATTGAATCGTGGGTGAACTGTTAGTTACGGATCATGAATGTATTTGTATAAAATTCACATATTTGTCATACATACATACATATGTGCGCAAGTGGTGTCCTTGTGTTGTTTCTGACTCACTTTGTCAACAGTTGTGTGGGCGGAACAACCTTTTCATCCGATATGGTGAAACATAGCTTATTTCGTAGAAGAAATCGCACCAAAACAACTATGATAGATTGCTGTATTTATCTACGTATTAAACCGGCGTATAAGTTTTAGACACGGTGCTTTATATCCGTGAAGACTTTACATGACAAATGAGTGTATTGTGGTAAAAACTTTCTCTAGGCTCGCGACAGCAGCGTACCGAGCTGTGCAGTGTTTACCTCCTGAGGCAACAAAACAATCGCTGCAATAACGCTGTGCCGGACTAAAAGCGTGACTGTACATCGTGTCCACCTACTTTAAGCAAGCACTGAATTCTCACAAAACTACCTTAAAGGAATTATCATACATTTACCATTCTTATTATCCGCACAAAAATATTACAACTTGATGTCATTTAAAATCTCGACATTCAACAGGTATAAAAATAGAGATTACGTACACACCAAATTATATGCAACTTATCGGACTTTAGCGAAGCTCACCTTTTGGGACACTATAGTCACTTCTTTCACTTAATAAATAGAACTTATCACTATATCACAGATCGTTTGATTCGGGTGCACATAGTTTGTGTAGCGGGACGGCGCGACACAGGTCGGCGCGGGGTGCACTCTACAACTAACAATAAGTGTTGCGGAGTGAGGCAGCGGCGCCTACGCACGCGGGTGGGGCGCCGCGAAGCCTTGCGAAAATTCACCGCCGTACCTGCGTCTGCGCCGTGCACCTACTCACAATGCGACGTAACTGCAGGTTTCTTTATTGATGCCAAAACGTTATGTGATACAACAAGCTCATGTTTAAGTATTTACCTTGATTAATGCTCTACACGTCAATTGGTGTAATAAAGTACCTTAATTACGTCTAATCAACTTCAATACGTACTTTTGTTGTACTAAATGTTTAATAATATTTTTTACGCCATTTATTCACAAAACAATTGTTTTGTCATTATAAAACTTAATTTTATTTACCAAGAAAAAAAATATTGATGTAATTTTGGTTGGAGGAAAACCCTTATTATTTATTCGGTATGTCAATAATACCTAACATTAGAAGCTATAGATCATATACTCGTAAATGAATCATTAAATAGTTTAAATAACAAACTCTAACAACCTGAGAGCTTAAGCGTAACTGGCCTACTAAGGCATGCAAATTTATAGAAACCAACGACCATATTTTCAAAGGTAAATATTGCATCAATTTCTACGCTTAGTTGGATTCAGCAAATTTATTTTCTTTTTTAACATAACAACAGGTTGTTTATCACGTACAGGACTCGTACATCTCAGATGGTCGATATGTTAGAGAAGCTCGATGCGAGTTGAGTGCAGTGCATTCCTAGGAACCAGTTTTAGTGCAACACTCCATAATAATCGCTTAGACAGACAGAGTTAGAAATAGTATTCAAGCGTATAAACGATTTCATTGTTTGCAACTGGTCACAATACCATGTAGGTATATGAATGGATACTGGTTGATATTGGCAAGAGGACAAAATAAAGATACATTTTTTTATCTAAATAATAAAAGGTTATATGAAATTAAACAATTAAATTTATTAACAAGAGAAGTTTGGAAAAGTAGTCAAGTACACATAAATAATTACATGACATTTTCGTACCTAGGTACGAAAATCTAAATTCCGTTACGTGAGCAGCGAGGAAGCTTGTTCTACGAAACAGGTCGAACCGAAAGCGTAACATTCGAGGAAAGGACAACATGACCTCTAAATCTTTGACCGACAAGACGCAATTTTTAAAACCAGTTCGTGTTACTAAATTTTAGCAGTGGCTTCTCCTACATCATTGTTTTTAATGAAATCTGGCTACATTATAACTACTTGTAATATTGTGTAGTTAGTAATATATCTAATATTCTATATGTTCTAACGTTTTTTGTACCTGCTTGACTGAGACATAAATCATCCTTGCGTATCGGAGCAATGATGACATATTCTCATTACGTAACCTCCTAAGTAGTTCCATGAGGCTTGACAAGTTACTTCATCACTCATACTTGTTACATTCTTACAACAAACACTAGAAAGCTAAAATAATGTTTGCTAAAGCAAAATTATTCTGCTAAGAATGAATCTATGGGACAAATGTTAGTTGTAGCAGATTCTGGTGGTGTGGATGTCTTGTTTGCTTCGTCAGTGTTGTCCATATTGTTGATACGTGCAGCTAAAGCCGCATTGTCAGCTAAAGCGGCTGCCAAAGCCTTTTCAAGTTTAGCTGCACCAGCTCTTTCCGCGTCCAGAGCTGCTCGTGTCTCAACTAACGCTTCAGAATCAGGATCAATAGTTTTCTTGGACGGATTATCGCTAATTTCAGCCAATTGTATTTGCATTTCGGCGATAGTTGCTTTTAGTTTACTAATTTCCGCTGTACCAAAAATGAAATTTCGATGTTTTATGGGTGTAAATAGACTTCATTTAATGATAAAATATAGATATTATTTGCTCACTTACTATTAGCAGCAACTAGTTCTTTGTTAGTATGTTGTAACTCTGCAGCAGTTAGACGCCTCTCTCGTGCATGTGCTGCAGCGGCCAAACGTGCACGTTCTCGTATTTCTGAACCAGCTGCAGCGCATTTCTCTACTCTTCGTAGTTCACTTTCAAGACGAGTTGATTCCCTAATTGAACGAAGTCGTTAGATAATGAAATTAGTTGTATCTACTAAAGGGAAGGAATTATTTAGTACTTTAGGTATTTCCTAGTGTTTACTTACCTTCGTGCTTCTTCCGTTGCTTTGGAGATGCGTTCCTGTAGTTCAGTGTACTGTCGTTGAAGAGCCGTATGCGCTGATTGCAAAGGTTTCAGTTGTTGAACCTGTCTCTCTAGCGAACCAATCTGTGCTGTCATTTCGCCACAACGGTCTTCTAAAAGCTTTCGCTGCCTCTCCTAATAAGAACATATAGGCATACGTGTAGGTTGTGGTTTGGTTATTCATTGCCGAAATTGTTTTGTAAGATTTTGCTCTGATGATCGATGTTACATCATAAAGGACCAGTGCTTTCTACTTCTAACTGTATTCCGCATAATGTTAAATGTGTACAAATGATGTAGGTTAGCAAACATCAAGTCAAAGGGAGTTTAAAAAAAACAAACATCTCGAGAAGGGCATAACTCCATTAATTCTTTAGGGGGTCGACCACAGTGAAAGAGGCCTAATTCACCCCCCTCCCCTACCCCATCCTAATCCTTATATCCGCAACTTATCCCCAAAAGGCCGGCAACGCACTCGTGACTCCTTTGGTGTTACGGGTGTCCATGGGAGGCGCCCGTTTGCCGACTTATAAATAAAGTGAATAAAAAATTATTATAATCAGAAACTATTCTATAGCTTAGATAACACTAATAGTTTTTATTGTAACGAGAGATTCAAAAGCTCTATACGTAGTCCGACCTTGGAGATAGCAAAAAATTATAACGTCGTATATATGATGATTACAGATTTTATCAATATGAATTGATACTTCATTATGTCTCAATTACTTAGTAGCTTAACTTAAGAATTGAAAAAAAAACACACAAACAAGTAAAGAAGTTGCGAAAGAGGCAAATAGTACCTACAACAATAACAGGACTCAGGACTATGGCTGTCCTACTCAACGCTTTTGTTTTCATTGCAACAATTTGGCATACTTTTTGAAATATTTTGAAATTGAAGTAAACATGTAACAGTCAGACACTTTGTTGTGTAGAGTGTATATGAAGTTCAAGGCACTAATAATAATCACTTACAGATCAATACACGATGTATAGCCGATTGTTTTCAACACTTGAGAATATTCCCACGTCATGTTATAAAAGAAAAAAATATGAAAGCGTGTATGATATGTATCACGATACTAGTAATCCATCAGATAAAGATGTCTTTCATAGATCATTTTAGAAAGACAATAAACAGGTGCCTGTTCGTACTATCTAGGTACTCATAATACACATAAACATAAATTTATAGCCATTTTTTGTATTAAAACTCAATACATATTACTTATCGCTAATTATAGTAGACTAGCTAGTCTCGCGCGGTTTCACCCGCTGCTCAGCTTCATTTGATCGTAGTGTGATGTTTTATAGCCAATAGCACTCAGGAACATTGTAGCTATCTATCAGTGAAAGAATTTTGGCAATCTGACCAGCGGTTCTAAAGATTACCCCTACATACAAACTTAAAAACTTACAAATTTTGCCTCTTTATAGTATAGATTAGTAATTTATGAATATGTGTTTAAACATTCAAATTCCGAAGCCGAAAAGCCGCAAGTGCAGCAAAGTAGCCACGCCCCGGCCTAAAGCAAAAGATGGAACGGGTTGGGTTTTAGTCAGTAAGACTATGACGCACTCTCTTACCCTACACAGGGCGTCAGAAGTCAATAAAGAAGAAAATAAATTCATAAGATGAATTATGATTATTGTGCTCATAAATATATTATAAGCTCTATAATGTACCTAATCTATCTTTTTTTTTGTGAGGAGAAAATCTTGACTGACTTCTCCTGCCCAGGATCGGGCGGAAGGGAGTGTCAGGCTCTTACTGACTAAAAACCACTCCGTTTTTTCTCCTGCTCTGGGCCGAGTATCTTTAAGGGTGGATCGATAATGAGAAGTTAATTCCCTTATCTAATTAACGAATTATCAAATTAAAAACAGTAGAGGAAAACAACCCATCTTTTTACACTCGAGTTATTGAACTGACCGTTAAATCCAAGTGCATTTTAAGTCCTGTAACATGTTCTTGAGAGCTGGCTAGTGCACTGGTGGCCTTGGTGACGGCGGCGGTGGCGGCGGCGGCTCCGTTGCGGGCCTCCGCCGCCGCCCGCTCAGCCGCCGCCCGCGCCGCCTCCGCAGCTTCGGCGCGTGTAGACTCCGTGCGTACTAATTCCCGTAGACGACTTTCCGAAATCTATATAAATTGTAAACCATATGATCGAGTTGTGAATCATATGATGACAGGTCATGACCTGTGACGAGATCATAACTAAAGTAAGTAGGTATTGCATTATTCTATCTTTTATATCTTTTAAAAACATTTCAAATCTTTCAACTTGTTCAAGAAACAAGTTAGCATGAAATGTAACTTACGGTTAAAGTCCGAAATTCGCCAATTAGTTCCAAAAATTGTTGCTCCAACGTTTCAAATTCAGTCGTAACTCCCATTTTAACAGAAAAATAACAATACTTTTACGCTTTTATACTTCTTTATTATTTTTACTTTTACGTAAAAAGCGCGGGATAAATTGTTCTATTTTCAAAAGCTTAGTCTAAGAGAAAAAACATATTTAATAAAATGTTTTTTTTATTCTTTATGGCTGATTATTAAAATTTAAATTTATACAAAGCTTGATTTAAAAAAAGAATTGTATTTTACAGGTTGACTTAATACAAAGGAATTAATGCAAAGTATTATCTACTTATAATTTGTGCTACCTATACACTAAAAAGTTTTTTATCGCTAAAAAAAAGGTTTTGGACATAGGTTTTATGATTCATTTTCGATTGTATGTGTGTGACGTGAGAAACTTTAGGCCATTCATTGACATTTTGATGAATAGCTTCTCTAATAATCATATTATCATACAATATAAATAAACATAGTAAGTACCTTTTACATACTTTGCAACTGGTAACGAACAAAACGTGTTTGTACACAACAAACAAATTGAACAATGTAATTTTACCAAGTAGGTACAAAACGTAAATATTTTTTCTTTCTAATCTGTAAATTTAATACAAGACAAAGAAAAAAGAAAGGAAAATGATTATGGAAAATATTTCCAAAGCAGTAATAGAATCAATTTACGTGGTTATGATAATTGAAATCTGTCAATTACTATCTTCAGTATTTTATAAGGGCAGACAGGATTTGAGGGGAATATTAAAGAAGGGGGTGATGTTTTTCTTCGGGCACTTCAGTATATAAAGCAGGGCTGTTGTTTTGTACAACCATTCCATCCCTTGCTGGGCAGTGATTGGTAAGTTGCTTTTGTAGTCAGACTTAGATATTTATTTTGTTCTTTTTTCAAATTGAAGTATTTGTTTCGGCCCGCAACTGATAGCGTCTTTTTGTGTCCGTGACTTTTTTTACTATTAATACGCTTACTGAAACTATTCATGAGCGACAATGCATTCAAAATTCTAAATTAATCAGAAAGAACTAAAAAAGTCGCTAGTACGCGGACGCTGCAAATAAGTATTAGCCACCCTAATGTCACGTCACCGTAGCGAGCGCACTCTCCTTTATCTTCATTGCAATGAACTGAGAGAGAATAAGTCGCTGTGACAAAAAATCACTCAGCAATTTTGATATGATTCAAAATTGTTCAGTTAACATAAAGTAGTATTTATAATAATGTTCCATATCTCTCTCATATCTAAACTTTCGTTTGTCCGTGTGAGTACCACATTACATTTGGTTTCACAAACTTGTGGTACCTAATATGTTGGTGATAAGGTAGCCATCACTTGAAAAAAAGTGACATGTATTACCTACTGGTATTTTCTGTTATTATTAATTCCATATTATCATAGTACCTAAGTGAGATATGTAGTTTCTAATATAAATAGTACAGCTAATTTAAATTCCTTTATAGAGGTAGACATCCTTCAAAATGCGGTTGGTGACAATCGTTGCGATGGCGATCACGGTTGCGTTGTCGATGTTGGTGCATTGCTACGAAGGCGCCAACCTTCGGGGTTTCGCCCTTCCTGAGGAGGACGAGGAGTTCAGGCACAGGCCTTTGTACCGAGACTACAGTTTGATCAGAAGAGCAGCTCGTGCTGATGACGCCTTCGATGATTACGGCCATCTTCGATTCGGTCGTTCTGACGACTGACGCAAGCGTGCTTCTCATAAACGACATCTTCCCTCACAGCACAGAGATCGATCCACAGACAAATCATATATCTAAATCCCAAATATTAATTAGCGGATAATGCTTCCTACTAAGTACTTAATAAATTAAAAATGTAGAACTGTAGATAATATATTTTTCTGAATTTATCTAAATAGATATTTAAGGTCTAGCTTGTATTGTAAAATTTAACTATTGTATTCTCTTCTTTATTTGAATTTCTTTTAGAGTCCTGTGAAATATTATTGGCTGGTTAAATATTTCACGGCGACTTTTATTATTATAAAAATAAATAAGTCTCCTTTCATTTTAAAATTAAAACCAATTAATATTCTGATAAAATAATCCCTAAGTTTTTGTTGTGCTAACATTTCGCTGAAAAAATGTTGTTACTTTTATTTTTTAAGTCTTATCGTTATTAATAAATACTAAGAAACTTATTATAACTTAAAATAAGCAAATTAAAACACATGAGATTATTTCCATGAGTATATTATTACCCAATAAATACATTTGACAACAGTTATAATTATAATAAAATGTGTTATAATGTTTAATACCGCCACGGACTGTGCCGTGTGACGAACATCAACGAACCTTAGGTTTTTATTCATTTTAAGGCATTTTGAAACTCATAATCCTTCCCTCTTATTAACACGGAAATACATATTAGCCATTGATTTTCTACATCTCAGCATTTTTATGTTAAGGCAATGATTCATTTCTTACAAATAATAAAAGCTTTGTATGCACGAATGATAAAACTCATTAAGATGTATTAAAGCTGCATTCGATTTACATTTGTACAAGTGACAATAGACTGGTGCAGTATACAATTATTTATAGATCAATCTATCCATAGTTCATACAAGCACTATGTTATTTATTTATTTCGTTGTTCTGGTTACTGCCTTCGTTCATACCATTTGGTATTCACTTGTTAATTGACCTTGTTATTTCAAATAAGGGACCTCATAGCATGCACTGGATTTAGTTCATAAATCTAATATTCATTAGGCACACGTAATATCACTACTCTATATTAAATAATATGAGACTAGTTAGTTCCTTCCCTAAGCTAAGTTATAATTTATATTTATATTATGTATGTAGTAAGTCCTAACACACATTTAATGGTTAATTGTACTTGGTGAAAATGAAGCGTATCGTGGCGAAAAATATTCTCGAATGAAATTATTTAATATAAGTATTTACTTACACAAAGATAAAGTTAACCAAGTTTATTATTGAGTTGTACAGTTTATAGAATGCGAAAGATAAATAAAAACACTCATCTTTTAAATTAAACTCCTATGTTACATGACGACACAGTTTTTACACTTCAATCCTAGTTTTGTGTTTAACACAAACACTTTGTGAGTATTTCTTAGCGCCAAAATCCAATAGATGTCGTCTTCTCAATTAGATGATGTCCTTTTTCTGTGAGCTTCCTAAAAGAGCCTGCAAAAAAAGAACAAATTACACACAAGAATTTTCCGAAAGCTGTAAAGAATTTCCATCAGAATGTAAATGGCCTCATTGCAAGAGCAGCATTGGAATATTTGAATATTCTAGTCTATTTAATATCTAGGATTTAAAGTGCCGTAGATTTACCTTGTTAACAAAGTTAACTATAGCCGTAGCAGGTTGTTCGGGCTCCAATTCTGCAAACACGTGGCATTGGTTGTCTGCACTCGACGACGCACGCGCAACGAATGCGAATATTCGTCTGTAAGTAAGAGAATAGTTTTAACAATATGTATCAGGAGCTCACGAGTATTTCTTCGATAGTTATTTTCAAAATACAGTACGATTTGCTGTTATTGGTATGTCAATTTTATACTTAGATATAGATAGACAATTAGGTTAAGGGCTGTTTTTAATTGGTTAAATAAAAGTTACCTGGAGAAATAATTATAATGCTATATGAGTAACAATTTTATTCCTCAGATAACATTTATCTGACTATTGAAAAATCAGCCCTAAGACTCAGATAGATAGTTGAATCTACATGAATCATCATGAATCACTAAGATTTTGGATTGAATTCTCAACATTTTACCTAAGTAATGTATCTTTATTGATAATTAAGATTCCTTAGCTTGAAGTGACTTACTTTTCCAACTGTGTGTTGTTGTCTGTATGGGTGTATCTCCTCTCATCGGGATCGAGTCCTGCGTACGAGACGCCGGTGGCGGGGTAGTGTCTTCGGAAGAACAGTTTGCGAGCTGCGTCGGTCAGCGTGATACCACCTCCGAAGACCTTGAAGTGTACGACATGTGCTGGAGCCTGGGGAGTAGTAAGACAATACAACGTTAACAATTATTTCAAGTACAGATTTCGAAGATAAAATATAAGGGTGTAGATATCCCCTATCATTTATAAGATTCTCCTACTGAAGATGTGGTAGCTGATATGTATATAGCATATTAATAGTTTTTAATTCCAAAATATACAATAGCATATGCTTTTTCGACAAGTTACCTTTTTATTAAGGATATTAGTGACAGCCCTCTTGACGGCAGCAGGTCCTGTCAATGCCTCAGTGTTTTCAGATCCAAGTAACAACACATGACACGCCGCACCAGTTGCTAGGAGTGCTCTAGCGGCCGCGTTCGCACTACCCCCAGTCCATGGATCCCTGTGGTAAAGAAGGTGAAAATTGAACATTTCGATTAAAACAAATATAAACTAACCGGAGAGGCCTATATCCAGCAGCGATCCAAAAAAAATCAAAGATTTCTAAAGTGAAACTGGTACGCAAATTGTTGTTTCATGGCATTTTATTAACTCACCTATCAGGTAATCGCAGTGGTACAGGCAGAGCTAGTGGCGTGACGGTGTGTTGGTAGACTAGAGCAGAGAGTGAGCTGAAGACTGGCTCATCGGGACAGCCTCGTAGGCGCACACCGCGAGCTGTGGGCTCGATGAGGAAGTGCCGGACACCTCCCGCGCCACCCGCACGCACCGCTAAGCCAAACGCTCCCGGAAAGGAGTTGGAATCCCGGACTATGAATGCTCCTTCTTCCAACTGGAGCAGTGCTGATACCGCTATGGACAATAATTACTTTTTTAGAGACTATAAAATCAAATATATGTATATTTCTCGCAGATATGGATGATGAAGTAGAACAATGACTGACAACTTACTGATTATAACTCGAGGGTTCCCGGGCTAATTGGTTTAAGCGACATTTTTGCAACTTTACAGGAGAGCCATTTAAAGTTTGAAATTTCGAAAAAAAAATCATAACAAAAAAACTTCTGCAGTTATTTTAATGGGGTAAACGGTATTGAATTTTAATTAAAAATATCTAGTTGTTGATGCTAATACCAAATAAAACGGACCTTTAATTGCAAAGATAAATGTCGCTTAAAACAATCCGCCCTTTTTTAGAAACAGGAAAAACGATTTAAGTGACTTCATAACTACAATTGGCTACAGGGAAAAAAAATTAAGCGACGACGCATTCTATTTACAGAGTAAGCCAAAAAGTATGAAGTAACGAAACCCAAAATTAATAGAACCAAGGTATTTATCTCAACTACCAATTAAGACCAAAATGACTGACAGGCTAATTTACTTATGTGACATGTGACATTGAAATTGTAACGTTTAATGTTTATGTTTATTTACATCTAAGACTTTCAATGGCTGATAAAACAACCTGGATATATCGCAATCGCCAAAAATCTAAGGTGCTTACATCGAATAAATAAATAAATAAAAACAACACAATATCAATCAAAGTATTTATTTAGATTTATAATCATTATAGACCAGTCTCAATAGGAACATCAAATAATATTTATTAACTTTTTAGTCTTAATCAACAAAATCGCTACACCGGACGAGTTGTAAGTGCGCCCTTGGCCTTTTAGTATTAAGGGGTTTTGGGATTAAGGGATTGGGGAGGGATCGGGGGAGTAGAAGAATAAGTTTTAGTACTTTGTATTATAATTAAGTAAAATCAGTCTCAATGTGGGAACGTCGATTATAATAAAATTGTTTATGACCTTATTCATTAGTTATCCTAAAACTTTACTGAGTTAAAGTATAATTAAACATAATAAACTTGTAGTAACACGATAACAATAAATTTTTAAAATAAAAAAAAATATAAAATCAACAAAGAAACTTCTCGTATTCATAAAACACAGCTGCTGCTGAAAACAATAATCAAGTGTAATTTTCATTTGTTCATTTTCATTTGTCGTTTTCATCAATCACTGAAGATGCATCATCCTTGGTCAAAATTCGTTTGATTTTATGTTTGTAGAATTTCTGTCTTTCTGTCTCCATATTTATCTGAAATATTTAAAATAATAATTATTATAACTAAAAGGAAGTACGTTAGGTGAAACTAAAGTCAAATTATAATTTATAAATACTGTATAATTGAAGCTAAAATACTTATAAAACATCAAAACATACTTAATAAACAGTAAATTAACGGTGCAAATCTAAAAATACAATTATTATAGATACGATAGCTAAAAAGGTAATTTGTACGTTACATTTAGCTAATTGTATAGCAATAAACGAAGTTTAGGTACTGTAATAAAATAAAATTGAAATAACTACATCCAAAGAGACGATACGAGTGTTGTATTTACAATATTTATATTTATAATAATAATTATTATCTTTAACATCGCATATAAATGGAGAAAAATAAACTAATATTGTCATCTCATCACTTCCTTAAAGTATTAAGTTAAGTACCTACAACTCAATAGAAGAAGTAACATAATCATAAACAATAAAAACGAATTAGTCATAACATCTCAGTTGAAAACGGTACGTAAATAATGAAATTAAAGTACTTACGATTAAATTTTGATGAGCGTTTTATGTAAACACTGGCGGCCTGCGCGCGTCACGTCAGTCCTCGGCGCACTCTTGAGTGAGGCTGAAGCGCCCGCGCACGATAGTCCAGTTGAAAAATCACGATTTTTGACACCCGGTCGATGAAATGAAT